TTCATGTAAGGATGCTGCTCGAAAAACGTTCGGAGGAACGTTTTCGCCACTGCTGGTCTAGGGCCGCTCACGTCGTCAAAATAGTGCGCCAAGCCCAAAACGCCTTCAGCGTGCATCTCATATCCAGCGCGCGTGTGCCGTACACGATCTGTCCGCAGCAGAAATTGCTGCCTCACAAGGGTGGCCTCCTCGTCTTGTTTGTGAGCAACACTTTCAGTGTGCTTGACATTGACGCGACCACCTTCATCTGCTAGTACAGCTACAGCATCTGCTATCTGAGACTTCGAAGAAGTACTGCACGTCGTGCTCTCGTCCTTATTACTTCTATCAGCATCACCTTCTGCCTCCTGCATTTGCTGTGCAGCATTATGCGATACTAGACTCGTTCTCTTAGAGCTGAAAGAGCCTCTATTTTCACTGAAAGACCCACCTCCTCTTCGTCGTGCATTTCCGCTTGTAGTAGTTGCGCGTTGATCAACGATGACATCATCGCGAAAGGAAACCGCAGATGCCCTTGTGCCGTCACCATATTGAAAAGTGACGCGATCTCCAAGAGCCTTCGCTGTTTTCGACATACTCAAATCGTATGAGGACGACCAACTCCAAGATGTTGAGGAGTCGTCGATACGGTTACTGGAAGTGACTGTGACACCACTGAAGATGTCGCCAGGAGCACTGGTTGTGGTACAGTTTTTTGCGAAAGCCCAGAGGTCCGAACTGCCTGTGTAAACAACGAGTTTGAACCATTGCGGTGGCGACCCTATCCCAATCTTCGTCTGGAGCTGTACGTCACGCGTATCCTGGACAGGTATGTTGATGCGCTCGACTTCATCTACGTTATGCCCCTGCTGGTCCTCTCCTTCTTCTTGACCAGGAACAGCTACAGGAGGAGCATCCTCCTGATGACCAACCACATCATGTACGCCTACGCCGTTGGTGGAAAACTAATTATGGAGCAAGTCCTCGTCTAGGTATGTAGCACGTGGGCCACCAGTGACGTTTGCTCTCGTCGAAGTCAATGCGGCTAAAGTAGCAAACTGGAGGGCAGTGCGGGAGGCCACACGCGGTTTCCTCATCCTAAAGGACATGGCTCTTGCTTTTGATGTGCTTTTATTCATATTCCCTCTTGATCTTCTTACTTCTTGATATCGCGTTTGCGCCATGGCGTTGGTCTTGTTCATAAAACTTGCATGCAGAAAATTGCTCAAGTAGCCAACAACTTCTAGATGAAATTAGTGAATTCGCATTATTGGGCCACATAATCAAGTCTGCTGGTCGTCATTTCGTCAGGAGCCATCCATTCAAGATCTTCATCATGATGAATGAATATGTCGTGTGTTGTAACAGTTGTATCAAACTTGAGTGAAAATGAAGCCACCGATCGGAAAGTACTGCAGACGCTCAAAACAATCTTCTACCTTGTTGTTCAGATTGCGTCACGCATATCACTCGCGAAGGCAATCTAATCAGTCTTCCCTCTCCTTTCGGCTCCTTCTGCATATCAGCACCCCTATTAAGAATAGGAGCTGCGCTGCCACCCACACTCGCTCGCCTTCAAGCAGACATCAAAGAGGGACAACGAACACGGACTTCTAAGGAACGATCGGAATTCTGGGTTTTCATTTTCGTTTCTTGAATCACCGAGAGCAGCACCGAAAGAACGCTACTTCACATTCTTGACTTACGTAACTGCGACAACGTAGAACAGTTATTAGCTCAGCACGATGAACCTCGATCACAACTGCAAGGCATCACTCAGACACCTTGCAGTGTCTGTGCTGACAAACAGCAAGGTTATTATTTGCTCAAGACATCGATCATGGCAACAAGAAATGAAAGTCAAGAAATGTATGATCATGCGTTTTGCATTGGTCTTACTTGGCGTGAGAAACGCGCGCACATGCGTCCACCTAGCCGGCTCATCTTGTCAAGCTAGCGCGACCCATGATCAGCACCAGGTCAGCCATTAGACCTGTGGCTGACGCATCTGATTCATGAGACTAGGAAGTCCTCCATGAACAGATTGAGGAAGAGGGCCCCCCCGCATTCCGCTGAGTGTCATTGATGATCAAGATGGCTCGCCACCTCCTTCCCAGGATAGCCCACAAATGCAAGGAGAGGCCTACTTGTGCTACTTCTCTTGAATATTATAGAAGCCTCGTCTTACTCATCAATCTAACCTACTATTCTAAATTCCAAGAAAGCTAGCTCAAAAAGGATCGCCAGCGATCGCGCTGCGACACTGATCCACCTCCTCGTGTGACTAGACTGCCCACGTTCAAACTATTCAAAGAGGAGAGTAGAAGCATCAAATTGCTTAAGTATTTGCTCAAGGCATCTAGCACATCAAGAAAAGCACACGCGTCTCCTATGTGATTCTTGTCTTCATAGATTAGGTATGGCCACGACCTCGGTGGAAGTAGGTATTTCTCTGCGATAGTTTCATACACTACAAAAAAACCTCAACCAAATGATTAGCAATACTAGAACTTCTCGTCCCCGTCTCATCACATGATCGGTTCGAGTGTTTCCTCATGCTAATCAAGTTCACTAATCAATCGAGTACGAGTTCTTTTGCTGACTTCGTTGTTGCCGTTATTATGAATGTCTTTAGTTTCGTAGCTTTTCTACATTTTATAAGTATACATAGGGTCACGAGCTGTCTCATCGCTTTCGTGGAATATTGAATGCATTCACGTCGTATGTTCTCTGGTGCCTGTATGTCTTCAGCCAGAGGCTGCGATTTAAACTGTCAGTTGTACTAGTTTCTTGATGTTATTATTGTTAGATAGCTGCGTTCTTTAGTTTGGTGAATTGTTGTGTTCTTGTTGCGATGTGATAACTTTCATGCATTCAAATCAAAATTCTGGAGTGGAGTTGTTACGTCGAATATGCAGGAGATAAATGATCGATATGGAACATGAGACGCTTTATGAATAGGAAGCAGTTGATGTTGGGCCGTCATCTGCTTTCAGACTCAACATTACTGCGAGCCTCAAATTTAGAACGGTTCGGTGATGTGACAATCAAAAATATCTTTGTTTTTGAGGTAGCACATGATAGATTTGAAATTACTAGTCAAGCATGTTGAAGGAAATGAATGGATTCAGAGACCACTTACACCTGACACTCTCCCCACAGGGCCACTTTTAATAACCCATAAAGGAAGAACAGACCAAGTGTAAACTACAAGCTGCAACAAGCTACGTTGAGTAGATGCAAGGTATGATCATACTCATTTCCTGATCATAGATAAGCAAAGAAATTTCTTTCCCTTGTTTCTTCTCCCACAATTATAGAGAAGATGACCACGAAAGAGAAGACAACTTAGTACTATCTACTTCTACAGCTAGTAGAAAAATGCTTTCTTTTTCTTATACCAAGTAGCCCTTAGTCACCTAACGACTGAAAATAGAACTACACGCACACGCCCTAGTCAATTGGAATTCCAAACTACTCCATCCTGGGTAACCGTTTTTGACCTTTGCGTGCAGCTCTTCAAGGGTTGCTTTTTTAGGATTTTCTGCATTACTACTCATTTCCTCTAGCGAATCCTTGGCATGGTTCATCGTCCAGATCATCTTGTCTTTGGCAAACAAAAGCGTCATAGCTTTGCACGACCCGAACCAGCCGCACTTGGTCCCCACTTTTTCCCAGCGACATCCTTTGTCCGACAAGGATTTTTAGAGCAATGCACTACTCATCCCCGTGAAGTATCCTGCAAGGATATCCCTTGGGTACTGTTGAAGAATAGAAGTCATCGGGAATGAATCACCTGAAATGATGTTGCCATTAAAAGGCCTAGCTATGAAAAAGGACCATTTGGAGTAATATTCATTACCTTTCAACATAAGTGGGGTGGCACATCAACGCCCCATCTGGATAAGCGTCCTCGTTCTTCGCCAAAATGATCTTCACGGAAATCACATTCGGATCCGGATCCTCTTTTGCAGGAGTTTCAGATCTTTGCAGATAACCACTTTCATGGATATCCTCGAACTCCACCGCCATCGCAGTCTCGTTTTGCTTCAGAAAACGCGCATCCTCAGTGCGATCGTGCAACGTTAGACTCTACAATAAGAATGCTGAAGCCATCTCACAGCTAGCAACCGATCTCCATCATATGCGTCTGCAACTTAGCTATATTCACAGTCTTACTTCTATCCAAAGCCTGTTTGCTAGACGAGGTCTCCTCTAGCTTTGTTTATAGTCATTATTGACGAAGAGTCTCTCGAGACCAAAGACTTGTGGGTACTAGCTGCAACACTATCGAGAAAGCTGGTTGCTCTAGCTAAGAAGTACCAACAACATCATGACAATTCACAACATCACGGAAAAAATGGATGTGGATCTACGCGACTTTTCTTACGATTACGGTATACAATGATCATCTCTTCTAAGGAGTTTCGTTATTTCATTAATGAGAACCGCCACGCATAAAGAACCGTGATCCGCCCCCCCTGCCGTGGTCGCATATCCACCTCGCAAATGCGAGCTCTTCTTCACATGATTATCTTGCTCCAAGGCGAAGACCAATCGGCTTTCCACGATTTGCGCCAGCACGGTGTTGAATAAAGCGACGCCCAGAAGGCAATCCGCGAGGGAAAGCACAAAAAATAGTGCACCGACGAGCCCCATCATTTTCATGATGATTGTTGTAGCCACAGTGTCGATGAAATCGAAGGAAGTAGTTCTTTCCACGAGTGGGAGTCGTTTATTACAGGGCCGACGAAGACTAGGGGAAGGACGAACACGAAGAACAAATCAGGTCAAAACTTTGATGAAGGAAAGCACTTTCTGATACCTCTATCTTGAATCTACCCTAATGATCCTAGTTTTGGGAGCACGGAAGAGTGTCAATGCAATCATAGCACTTTCGATTATTTTTCTTGTAGTTTTATGGTGATGCTCACCTTTTAATATTCATTTTCATCATTTCGGCAGGTTCCTGGTCTTATTCCACAAGGGTGCCGTGTCTCAAGCTTTTATGGTACGCACTCAATTCACAAAGAAACGATAAATCGAACTACAGCCGGACACATAAACATACACAGACAGATGCTTCTGCTAACCTAATGTATGTAATGATCAAGCTAAGTTGAATTATCATAAGTATCTTCAATGATATTATAACAATCGGATGCTATGACTTACTTACTTACACTACACAGGTAGGGTATAAACCGAGTTCAGGACAAGGTCGGAGAGATTTCGGAAGATAGTATGGGGGCTTGGAAAATGGTAGGTAGCCGTCAAGACACGCCTCGCACAGAGACGTTGCACAAGTACAGACATAGCGCGCACCTCATCCATCGATAGCAGCAGGACACTCGAATCCAATGCGAGCCAGAGCAGGCCCAGAAGCAGAAGCGAACTGGAGTCGACATTTACCAGCTCTTCTTCTTCTTCTTGACCTTGCCGACTCGTCCTGGTCGTGTACATCAGCACTGTCTAACCGATTTGATTTATTGCACTTATTTCCGATCAACATACCGATCAGAGAAAGTTCTCCTCATGAAGAAGTTCGCGCATCAAGTAGAAGGTAGCACAGAAATTCGACACAGACAGAGAGAAATTCTAGGCAGCAACCTATTTCAGTGCGGAACACGGACAAGGGCAGGCACAAGAAAGAAAAGCATGGGATTCCACGTCGGTGGCAGCACTAGATTTGTAACATGCCAAGCTCTAGCGGTGGAGAAAACACCCTTTCACTTGTTGCTCTAGCACAGATCGAGAGGGTATGATCTAGGGTTGGGTCTCACCTGGTGGTCCTGAAATTTTCATTCACGCTCGCAGCCGCAATGAAAACACCGAGAAATATCATGCCTTCATTTGCGTCTGACTGGAGTACCTACTTGGATGAACAGAAAATAACCGACTTCTACAAAGATTGATATTGAATCGATAGGATAGGATAAGATAGGATACATAGGATAGGGCGCCTTTGCTAGATCTACACGCACGGCGCTGACAAAAAGCGCAGGCGAAGCGACCCAAGGCGAAGCGAACCGAGATGCATTCATTCATCACTCAGAATGCTAAAAAGAATCCAATCATGAACACTCTCTTCTTTGCTTTCCAACGAGTCTATCATTGAGACTCAAGCATAACTTCTGTAGCTCTGTATGCTAAACCTTTTGCGGGTTGAAAGCCTTTTCCTTTGCTTCTTCATGGAAGTGTGGACTCCGTTCTGCTGACGGTTAGACAGTCTTTTGCTACAGCTTTGTGTAGGCTCTCCTTCTTCTTTGGTGTGAGCGACCACCTACAGCTTTGTGTAGAGGCCATCATCCTTCTTCTTGGTTCTTTCTGTAAGTGTGCATCAGTCAAAGAGTCGCGAAATGTGCAAGTTTAACCGTTGATAAATGCCACTCAAGTAAACCACAGAAAGCGGTACTTACATACTTAATAGTAGCAAACGATATCATCGGAATCGGAAAGTACTTAATCCATAGAAATAGACATCACTGGAAATGTGCAAGTGTTGTACAGGTAGCTGTAACGAACCTCAACTTCTAAAATCGCATGTGCAAGTGTTGTACAGTTTTCCCGCCTCTAAGTCTAACATCTTATGTGCAAGTGTTGTACAGGTAGCTGTAACGATAGCAAGCTTCTTCCTCTAATTCTCATCATACTAGATTCTAGTCTAGTAGTTCGTCCTCTAGTTCTAGTATTCATCAACATGAACATGAATGCAAATACCTAGTTCTAGTATTCATTGCGATACAGTTTTTTGTACAGGTTTCCGATACAGTCTCTTGTACAGGTTTCTTAACAGAACCCGAAGTACTCCGCGATCTTTCTAGTTCTAGGATTCCTGCGCAGTCCTTGGCCTGAGTCCAGTCACTCTATTACCTTGGCCTGAGGCTGTGTGTCTACAACCATCCAACTTGAAAGGATATCTAAGAGAAGAAGTAGCTGTCTCTTCAACGATTTGCTTCAAGCAAAACCATTTAGAAGCATCTACTCCGTTGTCTCAGTCTCTACTCCTCAAGATACCAATTTGTTTGGAAGCATGTGGTATCCAAATCCGACAACCCTCCTCTCCTATCCTGACAAGTTGTATCAAAGAAGAACTACTTCTAATAGCTGAATCTACTAAAAAGTCTAGTCTTTCTGGCAGAAAGTACTAATAAAGTTTAAGTTTTTACAACAGAAGCCTACTCGGGTAATCAGTCTGGTGGTTTCTCGGGTGGGCGTTTACCCGCATGATGTTTCCTTCCTCCTCGTCGTTTTACTGATGGAGGATTTTTCGGTCCTCCTTCTTCTGCAGTTAGTCCTCGCCCTCTGCGATCCACTTGTTGTCCATTCTGAGACGACATGTTGGCTGAGGCAGATCCTGACGAAGCAGAAGATTGCGAACCGCCACCTCCTCGTCGGACGGGTGCTGTTCTTGATGTCACATTCACAGGAGCTCGTGGTCCTGCTGTTGCATCATTTCTATTATCGGAAGTTGTACTTGTTGTACTACTACTATCGCCTACTACTAGAGCATTTACCTTACAACGAGTAGTACTACTCCCTGCACTATCTCTGTGTCCAGCANTGGCAGCACTAGATTTGTAACATGCCAAGCTCTAGCGGTGGAGAAAACACCCTTTCACTTGTTGCTCTAGCACAGATCGAGAGGGTATGATCTAGGGTTGGGTCTCACCTGGTCCTGAAATTTTCATTCACGCTCGCAGCCGCAATGAAAACACCGAGAAATATCATGCCTTCATTTGCGTCTGACTGGAGTACCTACTCGGATGAACAGAAAATAACCGACTTCTACAAAGATTGATATTGAATCGATAGGATAGGATAAGATAGGATAGGATAGGGCGCCTTTGCTAGATCTACACGCACGGCGCTGACAAAAAGCGCTTTCGAAGCGCCCCAAGGCGAAGCGAACCGAGATGCATTCATTCATCACTCAGAATGCTAAAAAGGATCCAATCATGAACACTCTCTTCTTTGCTTTCCAACGAGTCTATCTTTGAGACTCAAGCATAACTTCTGTAGCTCTGTATGCCAAACCTTTTGCGGGTTGAAAGCCTTTTCCTTTGCTTCTTCATGGAAGTGTGGACTCCGTTCTGCGGACGGTTAGACAGTCTTTTGCTACGGCTTTGTGTAGGCTCTCCTTCTTCTTTGGTGTGAGCGACCACCTACAGCTTTGTGTAGAGGCCATCATCCTTCTTCTTGGTTCTTTCTGTAAGTGTGCATCAGTCAAAGAGTCGCGAAATGTGCAAGTTTAACCGTTGATAAATGCCACTCAAGTAAACCACAGAAAGCGGTACTTACATACTTAATAGTAGCAAACGATATCATCGGAATCGGAAAGTACTTAATCCATAGAAATAGACATCACTGGAAATGTGCAAGTGTTGTACAGGTAGCTGTAACGAACCTCAACTTCTAAAATCGCATGTGCAAGTGTTGTACAGTTTTACCGCCTCTAAGCCTAACATCTTATGTGCAAGTGTTGTACCGGTAGCTGTAACGATAGCAAGCTTCTTCCTCTAATTCTCATCATACTAGATTCCAGTCTAGTAGTTCGTCCTCTAGTTCTAGTATTCATCAACATCAACATGAATGCAAATACCTACTTCTAGTATTCATTGCGATACAGTTTTTTGTACAGGTTTCCGATACAGTCTCTTGTAGAGGTTTCTTAACAGAACCCAAAGTACTCCGCGATCTTTCTAGTGTCTCTTCAACGATTTGCTTCAAGCAAAACCATTTAGAAGCATCTACTCCGCTGTCTCAGTCTCTACTACTCAAGATACCAATTTGTTTGGAAGCATGTGGTATCCAAATCCGACAACCCTCCTCTCCTATCCTGACAAGCTGTATCAAAGAAGAACTACTTCTAATAGCTGAATCTACTAAAAAGTCTAGTCTTTCTGGCAGAAAGTACTAATAAAGTTTAAGTTTTTACAACAGAAGCCTACTCGGGTAATCAGTCTGGTGGTTTCTCGGGTGGGCGTTTACCCACATGATGTTTCCTTCCTCCTCGTCGTTTTACCGATGGAGGATTTTTCGGTCCTCCTTCTTCTGCAGTTAGTCCTCGCCCTCTGCGATCCACTTGTTGTCCATTCTGAGACGACATGTTTCTCGGTCCTTCGTGATTGGCTGAGGCAGATCCTGACGAAGCAGAAGATTGTGAACCGCCACCTCCTCGTCGGACAGGTGCTGTTCTTGATGTCACATTCACAGGAGCTCGTGGTCCTGCTGTTGCATCATTTCTATTATCGGAAGTTGTACTTGTTGTACTACTACTATCGCCTACTACTAGAGCATTTACCTTACAACGAGTAGTACTACTCCCTGCACTAGCGCTGTATCCAGGAAGAGACGACGTTGGACTACTGGCATATTCACTGCCAGAAGCGTGACCGTTGGGACCACTACCAGCAGTGCCACCAGTCGAAGTGTAGTTTCTAGAAGAAATAAGACCATGACCATCAGCCAGCACACTTGAGGTTGAACTAGGACTCTTCGGTGCCGCACTCGGCCTAGTGTGTCTGTTGTAGTCACGAGCCTTCTTCGCCTCTGCGAAATCCTTAGCCAGTTGGACAGCGTTAGTTCCGGATATCGTCATCGTGCTAGCGCTTTCACTGCCACCGGACAGAGAGAGTGAACGCATATCCTTGGTTAGAGGTTACAGAATTCCATTCCTCTGAACATCAAACCTGGCTTCTTTTCTACTAGGAAAAGCGCCATGGATGGTTTATTACGGGGAAATGTAACTAAATCTGGTGGAAACGACTCTTAACTTGGAGCCGCTCGTCTTGCCAATATGTAAGTCGAATAAAAACTCCCCTCTCGGCGAAGTGTTTCTACTAGTGCCGCCAGAGGAGGGTGGCTGTCCTAAAGGCAGTTTTGACTGCGTTGGAGTTGAGGAAGGCGTCGTGCTGTCGCTGCGCTGTAAATGAAGATCATGCATGCCGCTCTTGTGGAACAACCCAACATCCAGGCTTCGATTCGGGTCAACCTCAACGTTTCCCTGTACATCTTCTGTCGTCAACACGAAATCTGGGGAAGACGTAGAACTCGAGGACTTCGCAGCTACAGGATTTTTTGACGAAACTAAGTCTATCTCCTTTACTACTTTATCACAGGCTAGCGCAGGGATGCCGTTGATCTGCTGATGCAGCCTAGGAAGGTTGATCTGCTGATGCAGCCTGTTAGAAGAAGTAGGAAGTTCCCCTAAGCGTTGACGAGGCGCAGTACCGTTCGACGACGTTGCCGGAGAAGAGGACCACGCTGAAGGACTACTACTTCGCGCACCTGCATTACTTGCACTCCTACTTTGTAAAGAAGAGTCAATATTATGACTGTTTCTGTTGTTCGGATTATCGGAAGCTGCTACACCGTTGCTAGCATAATGGAGACCATTAGCACCGCTACTACCTCCGTTCTTGAGCAGCATGACTAAAGGATCGGTATTTACAACTTCTTTTGAAGATGGAGGTACGTCCGTGTTGCCATGACCTGTACTAGGATCCCTCACTTTGCTTGGCAGTTGAGACTTTACTTGCGCGGCTGTCGACGTTTTTGTACTTTCTTGTTCCCTGTAAAGGTTTTGAGCAGCGTAGTTGAGCTTGAGGTCACTATTTCTAACTGAAGATTCTGGTGCATGATCCCCATTCTTAATATGCATGTGCTTCCCATCTGCAACAACAAGGACAGCCGTTGGTGTTGGGCTTGACAAGCAAAAATCCGTCTCCTCTAAGACTGGAGGTCCTTGCTCTCCTTCTGCTCCCTGGCCTCCAGCTGGCCTAAACCGTAGAGGCCTACCTCCGAACTGTGGCGTTGCGATGGAGGACGCCACAGAATCGGTGCGCGGTGGGAGTCCTATAGGTGGGTCACCACTATCTGCACTGTCAAACGAGATCCCGTGGTGCTGTCTGGTGATAGAACCTTGAAAATGTCCTGGCTCCGTTGGCGATGGCAGTGTTGCCATTGACACGTCACTCACACGTCTAGGCACCGACATGTAGCTCCGCGCTGTGTGCGCACTCGCGGATGAGACACGACTCCTGGTGCCGGCGGCTGGGTTATTCGAAGAAGGTGTTGAGGATGCGGTGGTGGAAAGGTGGTGGCCGTGTCCTGGTGGCGCGTAGGCGTGTTGTTCCCCTTGTTGTTGACCTCCAGATGGATGTAGTAGATGGTTGTGGTGTTGTTGGGTAATGGGGGTAGCGGGCGACAAATACGGAGGAGTGTGATTCACGCGGTTGCTAGTCGGAAGTGTCGTAGGGAGGAACAGGGGACCAGTCGTGGCGCCTTGAAGGGGGCTACTTGTTGCGCTGCCTGGTCTGGAACTTGGAGCTTGTATTGAGGAAGAGCCACTAGATGCACGACTACGAGGCTCATCCGTAGTTTCGCCACCAGCCAGGAAGTGAGAGGTTGAACCCTCGCTGCCCATCACAGATGATTCAGCTCCTGTAGATGCACTCGACAACGTCCGCACACCACTTCCCACAACTCCTCCTCCTCTCCCCATTACAGCAGCTGCGATAGCAACAAAGGGGTAAGTGAGAACGGCCCATATCGTGGCAAAGATTCTACGGAGAAAGACCGACCACACGTGACAAACGACTAAATAGAGCAAGAGCACGCGCTCTGGAGACCAGGAAATGTCCAATATCGGAGTTTTCAACTCTCCACTTCGATACCCAGTCGCCCACGTCACGACGTACCAAACAGACGCCAAAAAGGACAAAATACTAGACAACAGACGGTCTAGCAAACCACGCAACGTCTCTGTGTCTTTCCACACTTGAAGAGCGTAGTCCCGGATTCTCTGGTAGTAGAAATCCAAGGATATGTGTGTTTCGTCTTCTGTAAAGGAAATGCCGCTGAGCCAGGTTTCTGAGGCAGGAACTAAACGGTCTCTCAACCTCTGTAGAATGTTGTTATCATCTTCTGCGCCATCCGGTAATCCTGCTGCTGTGCTGTTCAATGCCGCCTCTAGTAAGCAGAGGAAAGGGTCAACTTCGCCGACTCCTGTTGCGCCGTTACTGGTTCCACTACTTGAAGATGAGCCACCAGCTACACCGCTACTTCCCACTCCGACACCGGCTCCTCCTACACTGCTGCTGTTGTTTGTTGCGTTTCCACCAGCGCGCAGACCCGACGATGATATTCCCGTCACTCCAAAGGCACCTGCTTGGTTGTTGAGGATACTCTCGAAGCAATGGTCTCTCCCCTTCAGAAAGACCTTCTGCACCTTGTCCAGCTTTCCCCTGTACTCCCTTGTTTGGTCGTGGAGCGTTAGGAGTATAGAGCTCAACAGCGTCAGAACCAGCTCTTGGTTCCGCATGCTGCCCAGCATATTCCGACTCAACTTCGACAAATCGATGTGCTTACTTTCTAGCAATCGGATGTTCTCTAAGATCCTCATCAGAGCAGGTTTTTCGCCGCCAGGTGATGGCGGGGTCGCTGCACGAAGGTTTTGCTCCGCAGGTGGCAAGTTGGCATAATAAGCGCTATTGGGATCTATCATCATCAATTTCGCAGCTGCATCACCTCCACCGACTACTGACATCATCTGTTTCATCAGAGCCGCTGTCTTGTCTCCGTTGGCGTCGCCACTAGCAGGAGGCGACACGGTGTTGACGATTTGCTTCAGTACTGCCATTGCATCGCTACTCCTGCCCAAGTCCGACAACTGCGTTTTCATACGGTCTAGGCCTAGATCTTCGAACCGCAGAATCTGCTCTGATATCTCAGCTGCGGTCGGGCCGGTGAATATTTCACCGTCTTCAAGGAAAGGACTAGGATCGTCTTCGGCGTCGGAGGATGCAGACATAGCACTGTCTACTGTGTTAGATGAAGCAGATCCACTAGTAGTCCCGTTGCGACGCTCGTCTGTGAGTGCGCCACCCAGATTTTGTCCGCTTCCGGCAATACCATTACCAGCAGTGCCACTGCCTGATATCATGGCACCACTAGCTACGCCAACAGCAGTCGTAGCTCCTCCTGTGGCGCCGGCAGCACCAGTCGTACCCGCGGAACTGCCGTCGCTAGCGGAACTCCCGTCTCCTGCTGCCCCACTCGTAGAAGACGAAGGCGAAGCTGATGTGCCAGTAGCTGACCCAGCGGCGGTTGCGCTATCGGCTGGTGTCGGTGCACCTGTCGAGGTCGCCGCAGTTCCGCTTGAAAACCACGAGGAAGGCGCAGCTGTCGTTGACGACGAGGATGAGGACACGGTCGCTCCTGCCGCACCAGCACTTGTTGTACCAGCTACGACATTCCTACCTGCTGTTGACATTCCTCCCACGCCTGACGCGTCGCCAGCAGCATTCTTTCCCGATTCTTTTCTTTGTTGCTGGTCACTGCCTACAGCACCTACACCTGGCTGTTGTGTCGCAGTTGTCGTCGTTGTCGCACTTCCACCACGATCGTAGCGTAAGTACGCAGGCACGTCTATCCCGACACGTCGCAGAAACAAGTCTGGCTCCGTTGAAAAAAAGTTGTCGCGTTCGTGGTAGTCACCCAACAAGTCGCCCACACTGGGTACTGGCAAGTTCTGGCTCGCTAATTCTACGTCCTCTTTCTCCAGTTGCTTATCTAATTCTTTCAGCACTGTAGACCCAAATACCTGGATTTTCGTCAGAGCGCAGTAGACGGAACCGTCCAAATCGTAGTGGGACAGCGCGCGCACCTTGAGGAACCTAACCCAACAGCCGTTTTCTTGTCGACTGCACCGCTTGTTCACGTCAAAGACCTGCTGAGTTTCGGACAAGCTTAGCTCCACCTCCGCCAACACCCGCCACCGCTCTGCGGGATAGCTGCTGCTGCCTAGAATCTGGATATGTCGGAACTGACTCGCGAAAAACTCGAGGCTCACAAAGCCAACTTTCTCCAGAGAGATGTACTCTGGCAGACCTAGAACAAACCAAGCACCCCGTACACTGCACGGTGAGAGCATGTACGCGGAAGGATCGGACTTGAGGATGTGACCCGCTCCTTGGGTCCCATCTGAAGACGCCAAGATCTTAGCACCCGCACTCTGGGAGGCGTAATCGGTCTCCATGGTCCGCATCTCCGTCATATTGATCCCCTCAGTAATAAAACGCGGCTCTGGCTCCTTACTCCTAGGTTTCATTACGCCTTTTTCTGAGACGGATTCATACGGGGCAAAAGCGTCTAAGGCATCGCTGAACCACGCGTCTTGCGCTGCCGGGTCCACTGGTTGTTGCCGCGGCGCATGCGCGTCTAAGTAAGCGTCTAACTCCGTGTCATTCAGCGTAGCAAGAAACGCTTCATGCGTGTCAGCCAGTGTGTCTAGATCCTGGTCTGCAACTGTTGAAGATGTTGGAGTGCTATCTTCATCCGCGTATCTGCTTGTTGATGAAGTAGATGCCCTGCTATGACCATGCGTCGAAATGAACCTTGTTGTTTGCCAGGAATTACTCCTAGTCATCAGGTCGTACTCCTCGAGAGTTATGACATTCACATTTGAGGTCCCAAACGGGTAATTGTTCTCTTGATCTTCATCCTCTTGTTCTTCATCCTCTTCATCGTCGTCTTCTTGCTCATTACCTTCGTGCTCATTATCTTGTTGCTCATCGTTGGTTGCATCACCTTCAGTGGTACTAGGCGTCTCGGATGTCGCAGAAGTAGTCTCATCAGTACTAGTTGTTGAGGGACTCAATGAAGCGCTATCTTCACTGATGTCCTTTCCGCCGGAATCGTCAGCAGTTGGTGAAGCATCTGCCCCACTTGATTTCTGCTCCGTGGCACCTTCTAATGCAGTACCCGCTACGCTGTCCTTTTCAACACCAGAAGTTGCCCCTGCTGTCGTGTTGACCGTGCTTTCTTGTTCGCTGCTTGTGGACGACCCCAAAATCGCGTCTAAGATACCACCCATCAGCGATCGCTTGCTGTCTTTAGCCGTATCAGCTTCATTTTCACCGGAAGTAGCGTTTTCTCCATCTCCCAGTGCCCCCGACCCACTACTTCCACTAGTACCGTTGATTATCTCCCCACTGGTCAAGTTTGCCATTATCACGCAACCCTCACCACCACTGCTTCGTGTATCATTCAATCTTTTCAGCATGGCGTCTCTCGTACGCAAGAAAGCTCCACGCATAGCGACTTGCCGTCTTCGTGCGTCGTTAATGCTGAAAGATGAACTTCTAAGTAGAGGTTGTTCTTGTAATTCTTGTGCAGTACTGCTTCTGTCTGCAGAAGTTGCGTCAACACGTTGGTGAAAACTCTCCTCTGGTATCGAATATAGGGTCGAGCAGACCCCTGGTCCGAAATGCTTCCAGATCACCGACCATTCTGAGGCCCGATAAGCATTGCAAGCGAAAAATGGTTCCACTCTACTACACTGCAAATGCTTTTGCCCGTAGATCCGACCTCGATACGTCTGCCCTTTCGCCATCCTTAAGCGAAAACGAACTGGAATCTTCTCCTTTGGCTCTGCGGAGGAGGCTGCTTCTCCTGCAGACGTCCGTCCACTATCAGCCGTCGTCGTAGATGACACAGAGGAAGGATCATCGCTCGGTGCAAACTCAGGCTCGATGCTATCAGGCACAGCATAGCCACAACGCTGCAAGAAGGGGTGAGGAAAGGCTTCGGAACGGCCTTTTTCCCACTCAGATCCATCGCGCCAGAACGATTGGCCAAGATAAAATTGCATCCCTCTTACCTGTGGAGGCCACACCTCTCGGTACGAGGCGGGAGCAGCGAGTTCCAGCAGAGCAGGAGGCTCGCGACCTATTATGTATCAAGAGGAGGAGTTCGGATTAGAGGGACCGGCAACCCATCTTTTAGAACATCTTTTAGCCTATTCCAAGAAGGAATTGGCTGAAAGATGGTGTAAAAGATGGGTTGACGGTACCCATAATCGGATCACAAACGTAGAAGTTCTTGTTTTTCAACATCAGCAACTAATACTTTTAGTTTCATCAAACAGGAGTAGCACATCAATCTCTAGACAAAATACGAATAGTACCACATGTTTCGCGTTGTCCCAAAAGTCCCTCGTCAAGCATTGCCTCGCAGTACCTTGCTCGGACCGTCAGCCATTGTTTTAGCCAGGGATACTTGTAATAGCTAACTGGCGTCAACGCTGGTCGGTACCGGTCTAGTGCGCAGACTTGCTGCCGATATTCCTCAATCGTCAAGATCCGTCTTCTTGGTGGGCCCTGCACCAACGTTTGCCAGGATGGACTTGATGAAGTTGGACCTCCGCCAAGTGTAGGCAGCATAATAGATGAAGCATGATCATGTCGTTCCAAATTTTGGAACGAGGACGTCAAGCCGCCACTCCCAAACAGTGTAACCGCACGATGCGCAGTCGAAAAGAGACAGAGGTCGATGCGAGGGTCAGCGCACTTGCGCTGCATGGGGAAAGCCGTGACATACCAGTCCCCGAAAAAGAGATATTCGCAACTAACGTCGTGATCGAGAAAAACCTGACTTTGTTGTTATTGAGTGGGTGATGTCTCCAAATGTTTCAAGATTCTATCTTTGATCGATGAAATATGTTCATTAAGATTGAGTTCTAGACCAAATGGTACCTCAGTCTGATGGAACAAGCTCTTCACATCCAATGCCGGGCACTCTGTTTCCCAGTAGGGGACACAGGGCCCCTCCTGCAACCATACATCCGAGAGAATGAGGCTCCACTCGCTAGAGATACCACTGCTATGTGCACCATGCGGTATTTGTGTATAAGTAGAGGAGGACGAGGATCTCCGTGAATCATAAGCAGGTCCATATTGAATGCTGGTAGCTGTATCAAGATGTTGTACTTCGCCTCTGGCGAACACAGTAGGTGAGGCGGTTGTCGTTGAAACGACCAAAGCAGTACTGGAAGATGAGGCACGTCCTGATCCTCCTGCTTTGATTTTAGAAAAAAAACACAATAGGCATCTCTTCCTTCTCTACGATGAAGTAAATTTCTGTACTACAACTACACCGAGCAAGTAAAAGCTTTTCGCTCCTCTTCAATCATGAGGTAAAGGTGTTCGCTTGCTATTCTCATTATAGTATACCTGTATTTCATCCATCGTTAGCGAAATGCTGTTTGCCATCACTTGGAACTTGCACCCGACAATGCCGTTGACAAGTTTCATATCGACGCACAGATCCAAGTCGAAATCTACTTTTGTCCCGCTACCCGTCAAAAAAACTGGTTTCTCTGGCTTCGCACTCACGCTCGTCATACACCGCAACTCGTAAATGCCTAAGAAGTCGCTGGCCTGCACTTGGTATCCGCAAAAGCAGGCATCGTTGTAGTTAGAGCGTGGCTGTTGGATCCGTCTAGAAGACCCTTTCATCTTGGTACCTCTACATATGCTACTTCCGAGGGAAATAAAGGGTACCTACTGGAAAGTACCAAGACCCTGGAAGAGATGAATGAACTGAATGCTGATGACCATAATGTAAACCAAGCCAACGAAGCACGTATGCGCGGGAATCCACAAATTCGCTAGCTTTTGGGACATCGCAACTCGGATACGGTACTGACCAGGATCCCGGATAGATACTATCTGCGTCATGGTTTCGCCTGCTTGCACCGTGAAACCCAGTCCCCGGCCTCCTGCTACGAATTTGCCAATATCGCTGTCCTTGCGGATCACCACGAAGGCGTCTGTTGAGAGTGAAGAATTAAATGTAGTGGGGTGAATTATTTAGCGTCTGCTATCATTAAACCAGGATGCCTCTTCTACGAAAACGAAATCCACTCAGCCTAAAGGAAAATGAAACACTCCCACACTAACTTCAGACGTAAACCACCGGAAGAGTTCAAAGCTGGCACTAATGTCAACAGGGTCCTAAAACTAGAAAGCATAGCTTTCTAGTGGGCCCTGTTTGAAGTTCAACACCTATCAGATAGTAGACCGAATGGTTCTGATTTCCTTGTTCTTTTTCGGAATCGTCCGTACCAAATTTCCCCCGTGCAAACCGACAATCACTTATACTCCATGAGATTACTCAGTAGAAGGAACACCAACAGAGAGAAAAGTATGCTTTCTAGTGGACCCTGCTTGAAGTTCAACAATGCTCATGTCAATGAATCATGCGACTCCATGAACGGAGATCTGTGACTATCGTCACCTATCAAGTTACTGGAAAGCAATCTGAGAACGAACGTGATTCTAAAGAACTACCAAGATCCTCATCGTCCACTTCTACATCGACTGCCTGGTTCGTCTGCTCCACACTGGCTAGTGCTGCTGCTAGGTCGTCTGCTGCGTCGGCGCCACCTGCTATGGAGGCCTCAGGACTAGCTGCTGTTCCAGGACTAGCAGCCGAGGGACTAGCGGCTGATGGACTGCCACCTTCTTCTGCTTTAGCTGCAGCTATTGCGGCTTCTCCTAATGGGGGAGTGGAGCGATGCAATCTTCTCAAAGTAGTTATCGCTATCGAGAGAGGAGAAGTCTCAAACTCGAGTCCACTTTTCTTTGCCTGTAGGTTATCTCCTATAATGGGATGTGAACAGAAGAACTTCATGATCAATCATCTTCTTTACTAGAATAAAGTACTCACAGTCACAACCACAAAACGTCAAAAATATGAAATACTCCTCTTCCTCTTCTCCTTCTCAAACCTTCCACGTAATGGCTTCTGATTTCTTCTGGGTAAAACCTGGAAGAGTTTCGCGATTTGTCCGGCTTTTATTGCGTCTTCGCGATTGACGTTTTCCTCCTTTTTCTTCTTCTTTTTCTCCCCCTCCTCGTCCTTCTTGCCCGTCTGCGTCTCAAGTAAACCCAAGTTCGACAAAAAGAAAACCAGGGCGATGATTAGAGCAGAAGTGACGTGAACTAAGATACAGGTTGGTAGGATAGGAGAAAAGAGAATAGGATACATATGATACGAGAGGATGGGGATCGGATAGCAGACATAAAAAGACTACTAGATTTAGTAGTCTTTTTACAACGCCTATAATTTACTGCAAGATTGACGAAAATCAACAAGCATCGGCCTCACCCTAACTCAATATTATCAGCAGACTGCCTATAACAACAGCAGATGTCGTAGACCTCCTCAGCTTCTTTATCACGATTCGCGTTCCATCGTTCTATCAACACTAAAATTTCCGCTTCGGATGTGATGGCCTATTTGTCAAGGGCTTTGGTGAGTATTTTCATGAAGAAGGATTGACTCGATAGTCTATATGTTGGCATTGAGAGATTTATCTGGAGAAAGCAGAAAATTCAAGAGATGCCAACATGCCTTGGACACGTAGAACATCAACATCAAGCCTCAATATATCATAGCATTAGACAGGTGACAACATCAACTAGAACTAATGGAGATCCATCTTCAGCAGCATCTTGGGTCTCCTTTTCCCTTTAAAAACGGGACCAAGATGACAGTGAAGATGGATTTCTTGTACCCTTAAATCAAATCACAATTACTTCTAGCAATGCCAAGTCATCAATAGACATGTGACAACATCAAATCACAATTACTAGCAACACCAAGTCATCATGATCCAGGAGCAACTGCAAAAAGCCCATTGGCAAGCCTGTCCACCTCTCGTCCCAAGATAGAAGCTGAAAATTCGTTCTCACGCATCCCATACCCACTAGCGTCGTTTTCATCAGATTCCGGAATAACGGTTCCTAGAAAACTTTTACAATATTGGAAGAACGCATAGCATATAAGCCGAAACCCGCGATAGAGTATCGTAAGGGTTAATTGAGTATCGGAACATGGAAAAAATAAGGGGGCTTAGGATTCCGATAGAGTATCGTAAGATGGTAATACTGGGTTTAGGCTTCCAATAGAGTATCGTGATATGGTAGGAAAAAGAAGACTGCTCGTTTCTGAGCATTCATCAGATGGATCACGGACAGAGCTGCGAGAGAGTGGAATTATGAAGATTGAACAAACGCTGCCGGTTATACAATACACTACAATACAATAAGTCTCGCACAGTTTTCAGTGCAGACTGCCGCGCGGCGTCATAGTGATGCAAGTTTCTATAAACTTAATTACCTCCACCGAATACTGCCAGTAGTATTGAATTTTGTAGTAGGCGTCGCAGAATGCCCCGTCTCCGCATGTTGTGCGACAATGCGTAGGGAACCAGCGCATTAGTCGCGCAAAAAGTTGATCCACTGCAAAACGATTTGCTAGGAAAAGCATGTCCACCATCTGCCCTAGTAACTTCTTCTTCCCCTCGTCCGTGTCTGGCTTCATGGACATGAACTCGATCTGGTCGAGGTACCTATGTCATTTTTGTATGACGATCGATGTGGTAGATCATCATACTACATCCCAAACGACTATACGAAGCCATCGGCGGGATGATACATTTCCTGCGGTTCTTGAGTCTTTGACTTTGCAACGAACAAGAGCGATGTCCAGGTCTAAAATCGTCTTTCTTTAAATCAGAACACGCTAAAACACTCTAGTATCTACAGAGTACAACTACTAAATAGTACACGAATCGCAACAATTCGACTGTCCTTTCGATGTCTTCACTTATCTCATATCGTTCTGCCAGTCGTAAGTTGTCCTTTCTCTGAAAACCGCCTCTTGTGCCACTCAAGGGGTCGCAGGTCGTCCAGCCACCTCGTTCCACTACGTCTGTTCCCCTTGTATACCTATCTTCCGCAAAACTCGCAAATTGGATTTGCTCTGTTGTTTTCTTGAATTGCTGAGGTACTCAACAATGTATACCAGGTTACAACGAAAAATAGCAGCGTGTTTCTAATCACACAGATTCTTTCAACAATACCTTGACGTGGTACAATTATTAGACACCAAATTTATTGTATGTTGGAGTAAGTACCTGCTATCCTCCTTAGGCCTTTTTTTCTGAGCCATGTTAAGGTATTTCTTGGTGCTTTCTCGATATGCAAAGGCAGTGGCTTCAACTTCGACCGTAGTTGTGATAGAAATCCAGGGATTCTCGCCAACGCTGGTGTGTGACACCGCAACAATGGCCCATCGTCTTAGAGGTGTGGTCTCTGATGAAATCACTTCCCACGTCGTAGGTCCCATATTTAGCAGAGGTTAAATCCCTTTATCAAATTCTACTTGAGAGACAGGAGTCTGACCGTAATAAAGAGGAACCAATCGCGGACCTTAATGAAGAAGAACCAGTAATCATGTTGTAGGCCTTCAGAGAAGTAAGTACAAGAAGAAACCTATTATCCTATAATCTATCAAGTAGAACGAGACAGGAACGCCTTACCTAATGCGTAGAAAAGGAGCAAAGCTCAAAAAATATATGCACGAGCATATCTTTAAGTTCTATCGGCCTTGAGCGCTAGCCTAAACCTGCTAAAGCAGACCTATAATCAATGAAGAAGAACCAAATATTAATCGCGTGATAAAAATGTAAATGAATCATCTATTTTGAGAGCCTTAATCTTTCACCTGCAAGCCCAAATCTCCACTACTTATTTCCACAAAGATCTCCCCGAATAGCAACTCGAAACCGGTATTGGCTTTGCTTCCTCCAACCTGCGCCACACCCGGATCCCTGTTCTCCTTATTCGCCACGCCATTGCCACCACCAGCGTCTTGCTTCCCCATCTTGCAACTCTTGGTCTTGCTGCTAGAGGTTCAAGAGAAGACGTATCTTCTAGTCTAATTGAGGTATTAAAATTTCTTCAGATGTTCTTCTAGTCGTACAACTGGATGCGAAGCCTCTTCACTTTTCTTGCGTTCTAGTAGAGAGTGTTGTTGTAGAAGTCGCTTCTGGAGTCCCTCGTTCTGTCTCCTAACAGATTATCTGTTCTTGAAATTGAGCACGAGCACCACAGTAAGTGCTGAAGAACGCGACGCCCTCGTTTACATTCGGCACCCGCTCGTCCAAGAAAGACCACTCTAACTTTCTGCTTTGGTACTTCGGTTGTACTGATGAGGAAACGGAGAGCTCGAGTGTTCCTCACACTGACGCCGGCAAGCGGTCAACTTACACTCCCTGCTGCACTGATTGTGTCCTTACAATCATTTTGCCAAGGATTGTAGTGTGCAGGCTACGTACTGCTCTACCCAACGATCGGTCTAATCTCCAGCCTCAACGACGCGGACGGCGTCGAGATTTTACGTCACACGAGCGGCATATCATGAGGCCACAAAAGTGGTCATTCGGATTGTGTCACTGTCAGGACATGCTATTTGTTTTCTCTGTTTATTCACTATTTTCTATCCTACCTGCCTTTGGCGGCATTCACTACACAGGCCGAGTCTATTTTTTGATATCAAAGCCATCCCGAATGTGTTTTGCACTTCCTGTTCTTTGTTTTTCATCAGGTGAGTAGGTCCTTTTTCTTGGTAAAAATGACACACATATATCTTCTCAGTCAAAAATCGATTTTGAAATACACTCAAACAAGTGCACTCATTTCGACTTTCTTTGCAAAAGTTAGCTGCTTTATTTTCCCAACTAACAAAAAAACAATTATCTCACTTTTAGTTTCTCGGATTTTCCACTCTTTCGCTCTCAGCCTCATACAGCCTCTGTGAAGTAGGGAACAGATCAGTGAAGATGAAGAAGATAGATTGTCTTTTATTGATTTCTACTCATCGTTTTTTTGAAACTGCGAGTGCGCCTTTTGCGGAAGGCGCGTTGAGGCTTCTTTGCGTTTGCTGAGTTATTTTTATATGCTGGACGCCTCAAATTGTGGCCAAATCTAAGTAAAGTTTTGAATTTGAAATTGAGTTTTCAACTTGATAGCCAAGAGTTTTTCATTTTATCTCATCTTTTTCTAATTCATTTCCTGGCGAAGCCAAAATATTTGGTATGGTGCAGACCTCAAATTCCGTCCAAATCCATGCTGCAGTGATTCCTATTTAATTGTTCTGCCCACTTCATCTAGCTTCTATCAACTTCTAGCATCTACTATCTTCTGATAGGGTCTACTGACTTCTAAAATCTGCAAAGCCTCCACTTCTAGAAGTACCACTTTTTATCTTTTAGTGAGTTCTAACGTCTTTTACCTTCATCTACAACGGCCTTCTACGAGTTCTTGCTTCTACTAAGTTCCAGCGTGGTTGTAGAGTACCTCATGACTGAGTTTGACTCGGACAATCCCAAACTTTTGCAGTACTAACTGCCGGCAAACTGCTGGCTTCCAGTAAACGGGTCCCCGCTGCTACGCCTAGCAACAATTTGCAAACCACCAGCAGCAGTAAACAGCTCTTAACTATAGTATAAATAATAGGGTCGTGCCTGGCAGTGAACAGGAACTGAGCAACAACCTGCTAACTGCTACTGGTGCTTGCAAACTTCACAGACTCCTGACTGCCACCCCGAAGACCACCAAGCACCTGCTAGTAGCAAATAACTCTCCTAGAATTAGAAATAGAAACTAGTGGTAGAGATAAACTGCTAACTTCATGATCATGAACAGACTTTAACTGGGAAGAAGCAACTAGTAGGAACAAAGAGCCCAAACGGACGATCATCCGCTCATCATTCCTCTTGTCTGAGGCAAAACTAATACGCAGCGGAGTCACTCTGTGCCCTCCTTCGCCGCTCAACACGAGAACAAGACTGAGGCATAGCCACACAATCAGTGAGCGCCATAATCGCAGCAGTGTCACGTTGCAGCCCTACAGTCATTCTGGATGCACTATCCTCTGTGACGTCATGTTTTGCTCTAATGTGCGTATAGCAATGGCTAAGATTGCTATCATGTCGGCTAATAAAAATTCCCTATGATACACGACGCCGAAGCAGTAGGTGAGTACGTGAAAAAGACAATGCAAGTAGTTGTACATAATATGTTTATACCAAAAATACCATCCATGATGTTGATGCTAACTCGTGCTACGAAGCTCAGGACAACAAAAGGTCACTCAACATACATATTCGCTTCGTCAGGCTGTGTCGTCCTATCAAGCAACTCGTCTGGGCCAAGCAAAACACGACGAACCGTTGGTATTCGCATTACCACTAGCTGAAAAAGCGCGGCACCGGCTGCAACACCGAGACAGGCCCAAAAGAGCGGCATAGAGCAGAGGCCCGCAATGCGCATCTCGAGCCCTAACCAAGACCAGCCGTGACTCGCAAAAAAGCCAGTGTTTCCCTTAGCTTCGGCAACAACCTCGCCCCACCGCGGACACCAGGCACGAAAAACGTCCCGTTCTAGCTCCTCACGACCTGAAGAAAAACATCGAGATCAATGTCCTGACCGGGTTCGTCTCTCTTGTTGTATTAATGACAACTCTGCCAAATGACACAGGCATTGCACATCAACTTCATCATCACATCATGTAAAAAAGAGCAGGATCAGAGTCGGAGTTTCAATGTTAATAGATGTCCTCAGGTAGTAAGTAGTGTATACTGTAAATGTAGATCAGCAAAAAAAGGCTTTCGTTAAAAAGATTGTCCTTGTCTAAGTACTCGCAGCTGGTGCATCCTGTGGCGTGATTCTTCCTCTGGCAAAGCCAATGCGGTGCTCGTCCAAGTCGAATATTGTTGTGTAGGTCCGTAAGAAAACGAGGCCGAGAATCACGGGTACCGATTGATGCGGGGAGCCCCGTTCGATTGCTGGGACACAGCGAGCCTCTCCTGTTCGCGGGTCTTCAGTACGCAACAGGTACTCAGGCGGCGCAAGGCAGAGCGGGAATGACCCGCCGTGATGATCTAGCAGCGTTACTGTCAAAGGTGCAAGCAAAGCCATTTTCTCACCTACGGAACAGTCGCAAATGCGCACGGTATCTTTCCCTGGATACGCTTCGCAGTTTTCTAGTTGCGTCGTCTCGAAAACGTAGTCGAAAATTGGTTCTGAGACAACCAAAAAACTAGAACCGGAATCTACGAGAGCTGGAGCACCCTCACTACCTCACGCACCAAAAAACGTGTAGGTCGGAGGAAACGAAGTCCTCGTGGACGATTCTAATTCATCTTCGGCATTTGATGATCTTGTTGTTGAAGATGTTGATGTTCTTGTAGAGGAAGACGCCATTGCTGAACCCGATGAAGGCGTACTCGCACCACTACTAGATGTTTCATGAATGCTCTTCTGTCGTTCTCCTCTGGTCGCCCATCCAAGCGACAGGACACTCGTGATCCACAAAGACGTCTGCTCCATGTAGTGCCTCTTCCCATAGAGATAAGAGGGCTCGTCCAGTACTTGTTCTGAACCCAATAGCGTTATACTGGTACTAGCACCACCGAAAACATGACTTCTGCTCCGACGAGAAGAACTTCTGCGCCCAAAGACCACTGCCCCACGTTCATCTTGCAGCTGCGTCTTTGATGACTTTGTGTTTTCTATCGTTCCTGTAGTTATCTTGATTCTACTTTTCTTGGAAGTCTTCGCCTTGGACAACCAAATCGAGAACTCCTTCTTCATGTAAGGATGCTGCTCGAAAAACGTTCGGAGGAACGTTTTCGCCACTGCTGGTCTAGGGCCGCTCACGTCGTCAAAATAGTGCGCCAAGCCCAAAACGCCTTCAGCGTGCATCTCATATCCAGCGCGCGTGTGCCGTACACGATCTGTCCGCAGCAGAAATTGCTGCCTCACAAGGGTGGCCTCCTCGTCTTGTTTGTGAGCAACACTTTCAGTGTGCTTGACATTGACGCGACCACCTTCATCTGCTAGTACAGCTACAGCATCTGCTATCTGAGACTTCGAAGAAGTACTGCGCGTCGTGCTCTCGTCCTTATTACTTCTATCAGCATCACCTTCTGCCTCCTGCATTTGCTGTGCAGCATTATGCGATACTAGACTCGTTCTCTTAGAGCTGAAAGAGCCTCTATTTTCACTGAAAGACCCACCTCCTCTTCGTCGTGCATTTCCGCTTGTAGTAGTTGCGCGTTGATCAACGATGACATCATCGCGAAAGGAAACCGCAGATGCCCTTGTGCCGTCACCATATTGAAAAGTGACGCGATCTCCAAGAGCCTTCGCTGTTTTCGACATACTCAAATCGTATGAGGACGACCAACTCCAAGATGTTGAGGAGTCGTCGATACGGTTACTGGAAGTGACTGTGACACCACTGAAGATGTCGCCAGGAGCACTGGTTGTGGTACAGTTTTTTGCGAAAGCCCAGAGGTCCGAACTGCCTGTGTTAACAACGAGTTTGAACCATTGCGGTGGCGACCCTATCCCAATCTTCGTCTGGAGCTGTACGTCACGCGTATCCTGGACAGGTATGTTGATGCGCTCGACTTCATCTACGTTATGCCCCTGCTGGTCCTCTCCTTCTTCTTGACCAGGAACAGCTACAGGAGGAGCATCCTCCTGATGACCAACCACATCATGTACGCCTACGCCGTTGGTGGAAAACTAATTACGGAGCAAGTCCTCGTCTAGGTATGTAGCACGTGGGCCACCAGTGACGTTTGCTCTCGTCGAAGTCAATGCGGCTAAAGTAGCAAACTGAAGGGCAGTGCTGGAGGCCATACGCAGTTTCCTCATCTTAAAGGACATGGCCCTTGCTTTTGATGTGCTTTTATTCATATTCCCTCTTGATCTTCTTACTTCTTGCTATCGCGTTTGCGCCATGGCGTTGATCTTGTTCATAAAACTTGCATGCAGAAAATTGCCCAAGTAGCCAACAACTTCTAGATGAAATTAGTGAATTTGCATTATTGGGCCACATAATCGAGTCTGCTGGTCGTCATATCGTCAGGAGCCATCCATTCAAGATCTTCATCATGATGAATGAATATGTCGTGTGTTGTAACAGTTGTATTAAACTTGAGTGAAAATGAAACCACCGATCGGAAAGTACTGCAGGCGCTCAAAAACAATCTTCTATCTTGTTGTTCAGATTGCGTCATGCATATCACTCGCGAAGGAAATCTAATCAGTCTTCCCTCTCCTTTCGGCTCATTCTGCATATCAGCACCCCCATTAAGAATAGGAGCTGCGCTGCCACCCACACTCGCTCGCCTTCAAGCAGACATCAAAGAGGGACAACGAACACGGACTTCTAAGGAACGATTGGAATTCTGGGTTTTCATTTTCGTTTCTTGAATCACCGAGAGCAGCATCGAAAGAACGCTACTTCACATTCTTGACTTACGTAACTGCGACAACGTAGAACAGTTATTAGCTCAGCAAGATGAACCTCGATCACAACTGGAAGGCATCACTCAGACACCTTGCAGTGTCTGTGCTGACAAACAGCAAGGTTATTATTTGCTCAAGACATCGATCATGGCAACAAGAAATGAAAGTCAAGAAATGTATGGTCGTGCGTTTTGCATTGGTCTTACTTGGCGTGAGAAACGCGCGCACATGCGTCCACCTAGCCGGCTCATCTTGTCAAGCTAGCGTGACTCATGATCAGCACCAGGTCAGCAATTAGACCTGTGGCTGACGCATCTGATTCATGAGACTAGGGAGTCCTCCATGAACAGATTGAGGAAGAGGGCCCCCCCCGCATTCCGCTGCGTGTCATTGATGATCAAGACGGCTCGCCACCTCCTTCCCAGGATAGCCCACAAATGGAAGGAGAGGCCTACTTGTGCTACTTCTCTTGAATATTATAGAAGCCTCGTCTTACAACTCATCAATCTGGCCTACTATTCTAAATGCCAAGAAAGCTAGCTCAAAAAGAACCGCCAGCGATCGCGCTGCGACACTGATCCACCTCCTCGCGTGACTAGACTGCCCACCTTCATACTATTCGAAGAGGAGAGAAGAAGCATCAAATTGCTTAAGTATTTGCTCAAGGCATCTAGCACATCAAGAAAAGCACACGCGTCTCCTATGTGATTCTTGTCTTCATAGATTAGGCATGGCCACGACCTCGGTGGAAGTAGTCATTCCTCTGCGATAGTTTCATACACCACAAGAAAACCTCAACCAACTGATTAGCAATACTAGAACTTCTCGTCCCCGTCTCATCACATGATCGGTTCGAGTGTTTCCTCATGCTAATCAAGTTCACTAATCAATCGAGTACGAGTTCTTTTGCTGACTTCATTGTTGCCGTTATTATGAATGTCTCTAGTTTCGTAGCTTTTCTACATTTTATAAGTATACATAGGATCACGAGCTGTTTCATCGCTTTCGTGGAATGTTGAATGCATTCACGTCGTATGTTCTATGGTGCCTGTATGTCTTCAGCCAGAGGCTGCGACTTAAACTGTGAGTTGTACTAGTTTCTTGATGTTATTATTGTTAGATAGCTGCGTACTTTAGTTTGGTGAATTGTTGTGTTCTTGTTGAGATGTGATAACGTTCATGCATTGAAATCCAAATTCAGGAGTGGAGTTGTTACGTCGAATATGCAGGAGATAAATGATCGATATGGAACATGAGAAGCTTTATGAATAGGAAGCAGTTGATGTTGGGCCGTCATCTGCTTTCAGACTCAACATTACTGCAAGCCTCAAATTTAGAACGGTTCGGTGATGTAACAATCAAAAATATCTTTGTTTTTGAGGTAGCACATGATAGATTTGAAATTACTAGTCAAGCATGTTGAAGGAAATGAATAGATTCACGGACCACTTACACCTGACACTCTCTCCCCACAGGGCCATTTTTAATCACCCATAAAGGAAGAACAGCCCAAGTGTAAAGTACAACGAAGCTGCAACAAGCTACGTTGAGTAGATACAAGGTATGATCATACTCATTTCCTGATTATAGATAAGCAAAGAAATTGCGTTCCCTTGTTTCTTCTCCCACAACTGTAAGGAAGATAACCACGAAAGAGAACACAACCTAGTACTATCTACTTCTACAACTAGTAGAAAAATACTTTCATTTTCTTATTCACATTTACACACCTCAGTATGTTGGAAGATCAGTGTCGGTGTTGTGTATTCTAGCGGGCCCGTTTTTGCGACCACCTTGTCCGTCAGCTCATTGAAAATCTCGGGAGGCACTTCCATGCTTTTAACTTTAGGGTCATAAAATTTTTTCAAAAACGGTTTATGTCTAGTAACCATTTTTTGATCCTCCTCATGATTCATCGTCCAGATGATTTGTATAGGAACCGGAGCCTTGCACGACCCCCGCCCCCACCAGCCGCAACTGGTCCCCACGCGTTCCCAGCGACATTCTCGAACCGACTTGGATTTTTAAAGCAATGCAGTGCTCATCCCCGTGAAGTATCCTGCAAGGATATCCCTTGGGTACTGTTGAAGAATAGAAGTCATCGGGAATGAATCACTTGAAATGATGTTGCCATTGAAAAGTCTAGCTATGAAAAAGGATCATTTGGAGTAATATAAATATTCATTAATACCTTTCAACATAAGTGGGGTGGCACATCAACAAACCATCACGCTCACTAGCACCGTACTGCGTCCACACGATCTCCACATTCACTGTGGACTTTTGCCTGCTCCTTTTTTTGATGCTTTCATGTCTTTGCAGATAACCAGTTTCTTGGATATCCTCGAACCCCACCGCCATCGCAGTCTCGTTTTGCTTCAGAAAACGCGCATCCTCAGTGCGATCTTGCAGAGTTAGACTCTACAATAAGAATGCTGAAGCCATCTCACAGCTAGGAACCGATCTCCATCATATGCGTCTGCAACTTAGCTATATTCACAGTCTTACTTCTATCCAAAGCCTGTTTGCTAGACGAAGTCTCCTCTAGCTTTGTTCATAGTCATTATTGATGAAGAGTCTCTCAAGACCAAAGACTTGTGGGTACTAGCTGCAACACTATCGAGAAAGCTGGTTGCTCTAGCTAAGAAGTACCAACAACATCATGACAATTCACAACATCACGGAAAAAAATGGATGTGGATCTACGCGACTTTTCTTACGATTACGGTATACAATGACCATCTCTTCTAAGGAGTTTTGCTATTTCATTAATGACAAAAACCACGCATAAAGAACCGTGATCCGCCCCCCCTGCCGTCGTCGCAGATCCACCTCGCAAATACGAGCTCTTCTGCACATGATTATCTTGCTCCAAGGCGAAGACCAAGAGGCCTTCCACGATTTGCGCCAGCACGGTGTTGAATAAAGCGACGCCCAGAAGGCAATCCGCGAGGGAAAGCACAAAAAATAGTGCACCGACGAGCCCCATCATTTTCATGATGATTGTTGTAGCCACAGTGTCGATGAAATCGAAGGAAGTAGTTCTTTCCACGAGTGGGAGTCGTTTATTACAGGGCCGACGAAGACTAGGGGAAGGACGAACACGAAGAACAAATCAGGTCAAAACTTTGATGAAGGAAAGCACTTTCTGATACCTCTATCTTGAATCTACCCTAATGATCCTAGTTTTGGGAGCACGGAAGAGTGTCAATGCAATCATAGCACTTTCGATTATTTTTCTTGTAGTTTTATGGTGATGCTCACCTTTTAATATTCATTTTCATCATTTCGGCAGGTTCCTGGTCTTATTCCACAAGGGTGCCGTGTCTCAAGCTTTTATGGTACGCACTCAATTCACAAAGAAACGATAAATCGAACTACAGCCGGACACATAAACATACACAGACAGATGCTTCTGCTAACCTAATGTATGTAATGATCAAGCTAAGTTGAATTATCATAAGTATCTTCAATGATATTATAACAATCGGATGCTATGACTTACTTACTTACACTACACAGGTAGGGTATAAACCGAGTTCAGGACAAGGTCGGAGAGATTTCGGAAGATAGTATGGGGGCTTGGAAAATGGTAGGTAGCCGTCAAGACACGCCTCGCACAGAGACGTTGCACAAGTACAGACATAGCGCGCACCTCATCCATCAATAGCAGTAGGACACTCGAATCCAATGCGAGCCAGAGCAGGCCCAGAAGCAGAGCCGAACTGTAGTCGACATTTACCAGCTCTTCTTCTTCTTGACCTTGCCGACTCGCCCTGGTCGTGTGCATCAGCATTGTCTAACCGATTTGATTTATTGCACTTATTTCCGATCAGCATACCGATCAGAGAAAGTTCTCCTCATGAAGAAGTTCGCGCATCAAGTAGAAGGTAGCACAGAAATTCGACACAGACAGAGAGAAATTTTAGGCAGCAACCTATTTCAGTGCGGAACACGGACAAGGGCAGGCACAAGAAAGAAAAGCATGGGATTCCACGTCGATGGCAGCACTAGATTTGTAACATGCCAAGCTCTAGCGGTGGAGAAAACACCCTTTCACTTGTTGCTCTAGCACAGATCGAGAGGGTATGATCTAGGGTTGGGTCTCACCTGGTCCTGAAATTTTCATTCACGCTCGCAGCCGCAATGAAAACACCGAGAAATATCATGCCTTCATTTGCGTCTGACTGGAGTACCTACTCGGATGAACAGAAAATAACCGACTTCTACAAAGATTGATATTGAATCGATAGGATAGGATAAGATAGGATAGGATAGGGCGCCTTTGCTAGATCTACACGCACGGCGCTGACAAAAAGCGCTTTCGAAGCGCCCCAAGGCGAAGCGAACCGAGATGCATTCATTCATCACTCAGAATGCTAAAAAGGATCCAATCATGAACACTCTCTTCTTTGCTTTCCAACGAGTCTATCTTTGAGACTCAAGCATAACTTCTGTAGCTCTGTATGCCAAACCTTTTGCGGGTTGAAAGCCTTTTCCTTTGCTTCTTCATGGAAGTGTGGACTCCGTTCTGCGGACGGTTAGACAGTCTTTTGCTACGGCTTTGTGTAGGCTCTCCTTCTTCTTTGGTGTGAGCGACCACCTACAGCTTTGTGTAGAGGCCATCATCCTTCTTCTTGGTTCTTTCTGTAAGTGTGCAAAGAGTCGCGAAATGTGCAAGTTTAACCGTTGAAAAATGCCACTCAAGTAAACCACAGAAAGCGGTAGTTACATACTTAATAGTAGCAAACGATATCATCGGAATCGGAAAGTACTTAATCCATAGAAATAGACATCACTGGAAATGTGCAAGTGTTGTACAGGTAGCTGTAACGAACCTCAACTTCTAAAATCGCATGTGCAAGTGTTGTACAGTTTTACCGCCTCTAAGCCTAACATCTTATGTGCAAGTGTTGTACCGGTAGCTGTAACGATAGCAAGCTTCTTCCTCTAATTCTCATCATACTAGATTCCAGTCTAGTAGTTCGTCCTCTAGTTCTAGTATTCATCAACATCAACATGAATGCAAATACCTACTTCTAGTATTCATTGCGATACAGTTTTTTGTACAGGTTTCCGATACAGTCTCTTGTAGAGGTTTCTTAACAGAACCCAAAGTACTCCGCGATCTTTCTAGTGTCTCTTCAACGATTTGCTTCAAGCAAAACCATTTAGAAGCATCTACTCCGCTGTCTCAGTCTCTACTACTCAAGATACCAATTTGTTTGGAAGCATGTGGTATCCAAATCCGACAACCCTCCTCTCCTATCCTGACAAGCTGTATCAAAGAAGAACTACTTCTAATAGCTGAATCTACTAAAAAGTCTAGTCTTTCTGGCAGAAAGTACTAATAAAGTTTAAGTTTTTACAACAGAAGCCTACTCGGGTAATCAGTCTGGTGGTTTCTCGGGTGGGCGTTTACCCACATGATGTTTCCTTCCTCCTCGTCGTTTTACCGATGGAGGATTTTTCGGTCCTCCTTCTTCTGCAGTTAGTCCTCGCCCTCTGCGATCCACTTGTTGTCCATTCTGAGACGACATGTTTCTCGGTCCTTCGTGATTGGCTGAGGCAGATCCTGACGAAGCAGAAGATTGTGAACCGCCACCTCCTCGTCGGACAGGTGCTGTTCTTGATGTCACATTCACAGGAGCTCGTGGTCCTGCTGTTGCATCATTTCTATTATCGGAAGTTGTACTTGTTGTACTACTACTATCGCCTACTACTAGAGCATTTACCTTACAACGAGTAGTACTACTCCCTGCACTAGCGCTGTATCCAGGAAGAGACGACGTTGGACTACTGGCATATTCACTGCCAGAAGCGTGACCGTTGGGACCACTACCAGCAGTGCCACCAGTCGAAGTGTAGTTTCTAGAAGAAATAAGACCATGACCATCAGCCAGCACACTTGAGGTTGAACTAGGACTCTTCGGTGCCGCACTCGGCCTAGTGTGTCTGTTGTAGTCACGAGCCTTCTTCGCCTCTGCGAATTCCTTAGCCAGTTGGACAGCGTTAGTTCCGGATATCGTCATCGTGCTAGCGCTTTCACTGCCACCGGACAGAGAGAGTGAACGCATATCCTTGGTTAGAGGTTACAGAATTCCATTCCTCTGAACATCTATCCTGGCTTCTTTTCTACTAGGAAAAGCGCCATGGATGGTTTATTACGGGGAAATGTAACTAAATCTGGTGGAAACGACTCTTAACTTGGAGCCGCTCGTCTTGCCAATATGTAAGTCGAATAAAAACTCCCCTCTCGGCGAAGTGTTTCTACTAGTGCCGCCAGAGGAGGGTGGCTGTCCTAAAGGCAGTTTTGACTGCGTTGGAGTTGAGGAAGGCGTCGTGCTGTCGCTGCGCTGTAAATGAAGATCATGCATGCCGCTCTTGTGGAACAACCCAACATCCAGGCTTCGATTCGAGTCAACCTCAACGTTTCCCTGTACATCTTCTGTCGTCAACACGAAATCTGGGGAAGATGTAGAACTCGACTTAGCAGCTACAGGATTTGACGAAACTAAGTCTATCTCCTTTACTACTAAGCGTTGACGAGGCGCAGTACCGTTCGACGACGTTGCCGGAGAAGAGGACCACGCTGAAGGACTACTACTTCGCGCACCTGCGTTACTTGCACTCCTACTCTGTAAAGAAGAGTCAATATTATGACTGTTTCTGTTGTTCGGATTATCGGAAGCTGCTACACCGTTGCTAGCATAATGAAGACCATTAGCACCGCTAGCACCTCCGTTCTTGAGCAGCATGACTAAAGGATCGGTGTTTACAACTTCTTTTGAAGATGGAGGTACGTCCGTGTTGCCATGGCCTGCACTAGGATCCCTCACTTTGCTTGGCAGTTGAGACTTTACTTGCGCGGCTGTCGACGTTTTTGTACTTTCTTTTTCCCTGTAAAGGTTTTGAGAAGCGTAGTTGAGCTTGAGGTCACTATTTCTAACTGAAGATTCTGGTGCATGATCCGCATTTTTATGCATGTGCTTCCCATCTGCAACAACAAGGACAGGCGTTGGTGTTGGACTTGACAAGCAAAAATCCGTCTCCTCTAAGACTGGAGGTCCTTGCTCTCCTTCTGCTCCCTGGCTTCCAGCTGGCCTAAACCGTAGAGGCCTACCGCCGAACTGTGGCGTTGCGATGGAGGACGCCACAGAATCGGTGCGCGGTGGGAGTCCTATAGGTGGGTCACCACTATCTGCACTGTCAAACGAGATCCCGTGGTGCTGTCTGGTGATAGAACCTTGAAAATGTCCTGGCTCCGTTGGCGATGGCAGTGTTGCCATTGACACGTCACTCACACGTCTAGGCACCGACATGTAGCTCCGCGCTGTGTGCGCACTCGCGGATGAGACACGACTCCTGGTGTCGGCGGCTGGGTTATTCGAAGAAGGTGTTAAGGATGCGGTGGTGGGACCACCGTGTCCTGGTGGCGCGTAGGCGTGTTGTTCCCCTTGTTGTTGACCTCCAGATGGATGTAGTAGATGGTTGTGGTGTTGTTGGGTAATGGGGGTAGCGGGCGACAAATACGGAGGAGTGTGATTCACGCGGTTGCTAGTCGGAAGTGTCGTAGGGAGGAACAGGGGACCAGTCGTGGCGCCTTGAAGGGGGCTACTTGTTGCGCTGCCTGGTCTGGAGCTTGGAGCTTGTATTGAGGAAGAGCCACTAGATGCACGACTACGAGGCTCATCCGTTGTTTCGCCGCCAGCCAGGAAGTGAGAGGTTGAACCCTCGCTGCCCATCACAGATGATTCAGCTCCTGTAGATGCACTCGACAACGTCCGCACACCTCTTCCCACAACTCCTCCTCCTCTCCCCTTTACAGCAGCTGCGATAGCAACAAAGGGGTAAGTGAGAACGGCCCATATCGTGGCAAAGATTCTACGGAGAAAGACCGACCACACGTGACAAACGACTAAATAGAGCAAGAGCACGCGCTCTGGAGACCAGGAAATGTCCAATATCGGAGTTTTCAACTCTCCACTTCGATACCCAGTCGCCCACGTCGCGACGTACCAAACAGACGCCAAAAAGGACAAAATACTAGACAACAGACGGTCTAGCAAACCACGCAACGTCTCTGTGTCTTTCCACACTTGAAGAGCGTAGTCCCGGATTCTCTGGTAGTAGAAATCCAAGGATATGTGAGTTTCGTCTTCTGTAAAGGAAATGCCGCTGAGCCAGGTTTCTGAGGCAGGAACTAAACGGTCTCTCAACCTCTGGAGAATGTTGTTATCATCTTCTGCGCCATCCGGTAGTCCTGCTGCTGTGCTGTTCAATGCCGCCTCTAGTAAGCAGAGGAAAGGGTCAACTTCCCCGACTCCTGTTGCGCCGTTACTGGTTCCACTACTTGAAGATGAGCCACCAGCTACACCACCACTTCCTGCTCCTCCTACACTGCTGCTGTTGTTTGTTGCGTTTCCACCAGCGCGCAAACCCGACGATGATATTCCCGTCACTCCAAAGGCACCTGCTTGGTTGTTGAGGATACTCTCGAAGCAATGGTCTCTCCCCTTCAGAAAGACTCTCTGGACCTTGTCCAGCTTTCCCCTGTACTCTTTTGTTTGGTCGTGGAGCGTTAGGAGTATAGAGCTCAACAGCGTCAGAACCAGCTCTTGGTTCCGCATGCTGCCCAGCATATTCCGACTCAACTTCGACAAATCGATGTGCTTACTTTCTAGCAATCGGATGTTCTCTAAGATCCTCATCAGAGCGGGTTTTTCGCCGCCAGGTGATGGCGGGGTCGCTGCACGAAGGTTTTGCTCCGCAGGTGGCAAGTTGGCATAATAAGCGCTATTGGGATCTATTATCATCAATTTCGCAGCTGCATCACCTCCACCGACTACTGACATCATCTGTTTCATAAGAGCCGCTGTCTTGTCTCCGTTGGCGTCGCCACTAGCAGGAGGCGACACGGTGTTGACGATTTGCTTCAGTACTGCCATTGCATCGCTACTCCTGCCCAAGTCCGACAACTGCGTTTTCATACGGTCTAGGCCTAGATCTTCGAACCGCAGAATCTGCTCTGATATCTCAGCTGCGGTCGGGCCGGTGAATATTTCACCGTCTTCAAGGAAAGGACTAGGATCGTCTTCGGCGTCGGAGGATGCAGACATAGCACTGTCTACTGTGTTAGATGAAGCAGATCCACTAGTAGTCCCGTTGCGACGCTCGTCTGTGAGTGCGCCACCCAGATTTTGTCCGCTTCCGGAAATACCATTACCAGCAGTGCCACTGCCTGATATCATGGCACCACTAGCTACGCCAACAGCAGTCGTAGCTCCTCCTGTGGCGCCAGCAGCACCAGTCGTACCCGCGGAACTGCCGTCGCTAGCGGAACTCCCGTCTCCTGCTGCCCCACTCGTAGAAGACGAAGGCGAAGCTGATGTGCCAGTAGCTGACCCAGCGGCGGCTGCGCTATCGGCTGGTGTCGGTGCACCCGTCGAGGTCGCCGCAGTTCCGCTTGAAAACCACGAGGAAGGCGCAGCTGTCGTTGACGACGAGGATGAGGACACGGTCGCTCCTGCCGCACCAGCACTTGTTGTACCAACTACGACATTCCTACCTGCTGTTGACATTCCTCCCACGCCTGACGCGTCGCCAGCAGCATTCTTTCCCGATTCTTTTCTTTGTTGCTGGTCACTGCCTACAGCACCTACACCTGGCTGTTGTGTCGCAGTTGTCGTCGATGTCGCACTTCCACCACGATCGTAGCGTAAGTACGCAGGCACGTCTATCCCGACACGTCGCAGAAACAAGTCGGGCTCCGTTGAAAAAAAGTTGTCGCGTTCGTGGTAGTCACCCAACAAGTCGCCCACACTAGGTACTGGCAAGTTCTGGCTCGCTAATTCCACGTCCTCTTTCTCCAGTTGCTTATCTAAATCTTTCAGCACAGTAGACCCAAATACCTGGATTTTCGTCAGAGCGCAGTAGACGGAACCGTCCAAATCGTAGTGGGACAGCGCGCGCACCTTGAGGAACCTAACCCAACAGCCGTTTTCTTGTCGACTGCACCGCTTGTTCACGTCAAAGACCTGCTGAGTTTCGGACAAGCTTAGCTCCACCTCCGCCAACACCCGCCACCGCTCTGCGGGATAGCTGCTGCTGCCTAGAATCTGGATATGTCGGAACTGACTCGCGAAAAACTCGAGGCTCACAAAGCCAACTTTCTCCAAAGAGATGTACTCTGGCAGACCTAGAACAAACCAAGCACCTCGTACACTGCACGGTGAGAGCATGTACGCGGAAGGATCGGACTTGAGGATGTGACCCGCGCCTTGGGTCCCATCTGAAGACGCCAAGATCTTAGCACCCGCACTCTGGGAGGCGTAATCGGTCTCCATGGTCCGCATCTCCGTCATATTGATCCCCTCAGTAATAAAACGCGGCTCTGGCTCCTTACTCCTAGGTTTCATTACGCCTTTTTCTGAGACGGATTCATACGGGGCAAAAGCGTCTAAGGCATCGCTGAACCACGCGTCTTGCGCTGCCGGGTCCACTGGTTGTTGCCGCGGCGCATGCGCGTCTAAGTAAGCGTCTAACTCCGTGTCATTCAGCGTAGCAAGAAACGCTTCATGCGTGTCAGCCAGTGTGTCTAGATCCTGGTCTGCAACTGTTGAAGATGTTGGAGTGCTATCTTCATCCGCGTATCTGCTTGTTGATGAAGTAGATGCCCTGCTATGACCATGCGTCGAAATGAACCTTGTTGTTTGCCAGGAATTACTCCTAGTCATCAGGTCGTACTCCTCGAGAGTTATGACATTCACATTTGAGGTCCCAAACGGGTAATTGTTCTCTTGATCTTCATCCTCTTGTTCTTCATCCTCTTCATCGTCGTCTTCTTGCTCATTACCTTCGTGCTCATTATCTTGTTGCTCATCGTTGGTTGCATCACCTTCAGTGGTACTAGGCGTCTCGGATGTCGCAGAAGTAGTCTCATCAGTACTAGTTGTTGAGGGACTCAATGAAGCGCTATCTTCACTGATGTCCTTTCCGCCGGAATCGTCAGCAGTTGGTGAAGCATCTGCCCCACTTGATTTCTGCTCCGTGGCACCTTCTAATGCAGTACCCGCTACGCTGTCCTTTTCAACACCAGAAGTTGCCCCTGCTGTCGTGTTGACCGTGCTTTCTTGTTCGCTGCTTGTGGACGACCCCAAAATCGCGTCTAAGATACCACCCATCAGCGATCGCTTGCTGTCTTTAGCCGTATCAGCTTCATTTTCACCGGAAGTAGCGTTTTCTCCATCTCCCAGTGCCCCCGACCCACTACTTCCACTAGTACCGTTGATTATCTCCCCACTGGTCAAGTTTGCCATTATCACGCAACCCTCACCACCACTGCTTCGTGTATCATTCAATCTTTTCAGCATGGCGTCTCTCGTACGCAAGAAAGCTCCACGCATAGCGACTTGCCGTCTTCGTGCGTCGTTAATGCTGAAAGATGAACTTCTAAGTAGAGGTTGTTCTTGTAATTCTTGTGCAGTACTGCTTCTGTCTGCAGAAGTTGCGTCAACACGTTGGTGAAAACTCTCCTCTGGTATCGAATATAGGGTCGAGCAGACCCCTGGTCCGAAATGCTTCCAGATCACCGACCATTCTGAGGCCCGATAAGCATTGCAAGCGAAAAATGGTTCCACTCTACTACACTGCAAATGCTTTTGCCCGTAGATCCGACCTCGATACGTCTGCCCTTTCGCCATCCTTAAGCGAAAACGAACTGGAATCTTCTCCTTTGGCTCTGCGGAGGAGGCTGCTTCTCCTGCAGACGTCCGTCCACTATCAGCCGTCGTCGTAGATGACACAGAGGAAGGATCATCGCTCGGTGCAAACTCAGGCTCGATGCTATCAGGCACAGCATAGCCACAACGCTGCAAGAAGGGGTGAGGAAAGGCTTCGGAACGGCCTTTTTCCCACTCAGATCCATCGCGCCAGAACGATTGGCCAAGATAAAATTGCATCCCTCTTACCTGTGGAGGCCACACCTCTCGGTACGAGGCGGGAGCAGCGAGTTCCAGCAGAGCAGGAGGCTCGCGACCTATTATGTATCAAGAGGAGGAGTTCGGATTAGAGGGACCGGCAACCCATCTTTTAGAACATCTTTTAGCCTATTCCAAGAAGGAATTGGCTGAAAGATGGTGTAAAAGATGGGTTGACGGTACCCATAATCGGATCACAAACGTAGAAGTTCTTGTTTTTCAACATCAGCAACTAATACTTTTAGTTTCATCAAACAGGAGTAGCACATCAATCTCTAGACAAAATACGAATAGTACCACATGTTTCGCGTTGTCCCAAAAGTCCCTCGTCAAGCATTGCCTCGCAGTACCTTGCTCGGACCGTCAGCCATTGTTTTAGCCAGGGATACTTGTAATAGCTAACTGGCGTCAACGCTGGTCGGTACCGGTCTAGTGCGCAGACTTGCTGCCGATATTCCTCAATCGTCAAGATCCGTCTTCTTGGTGGGCCCTGCACCAACGTTTGCCAGGATGGACTTGATGAAGTTGGACCTCCGCCAAGTGTAGGCAGCATAATAGATGAAGCATGATCATGTCGTTCCAAATTTTGGAACGAGGACGTCAAGCCGCCACTCCCAAACAGTGTAACCGCACGATGCGCAGTCGAAAAGAGACAGAGGTCGATGCGAGGGTCAGCGCACTTGCGCTGCATGGGGAAAGCCGTGACATACCAGTCCCCGAAAAAGAGATATTCGCAACTAACATCGTGATCGAGAAAAACCTGACTTTGTTGTTATTGAGTGGGTGATGTATCCAAATGTTTCAAGATTCTATCTTTGATCGATGAAATATGTTCATTAAGATTGAGTTCTAGACCAAATGGTACCTCAGTCTGATGGAACAAGCTCTTCACATCCAATGCCGGGCACTCTGTTTCCCAGTAGGGGACACAGGGCCCCTCCTGCAACCATACATCCGAGAGAATGAGGCTCCACTCGCTAGAGATACCACTGCTATGTGCACCATGCGGTATTTGTGTATAAGTAGAGGAGGACGAGGAACTCCGTGAATCATAAGCAGGTCCATATTGAATGCTGGTGATAGTATCAAAATGTTGTACTTCGCCTCTGGCGAACACAGTAGGTGAGGCGGTTGTCGTTGAAACGACCAAAGCAGTACTGGAAGATGAGGCACGTCCTGATCCTCCTGCTTTGATCGCGGCAGTGCTTTTTCGAAAAGCTTTAGTGGTTGTCTTCGACGTTTCTGCTTGTTGCTTTGATGTAGGTATAGGACTTCGTACACCTCCAAGCTCTGCTGCTTCTTGATCCTTGCCTCTCCTAGAAGAAGATGAGGAAGCAGCTCCTGCTTCTAATCCTACACTACTAGCTTCTATCGTTGCAGCTACTTCTTCTTTAGCTTTGCTCTGCTTCTTCTCTGCTGCTGCTGCTGCTGCTGCTTCGCCATGTTCGGTCTTTGATGATGATGACGAGGAGGACGTGCTAGCAGCTGAAGTTCCAACCTTCACACTCCTACCAGTAGTGCTACGTTGTGCTCCCTCATCTCTAGGCGTAAACGCAGCATGCGGCGAGAAGCTCGCAAAATATAGCAGTAGCGAAATAAAGAGCTTCATCTTTCTTCATGTTACGTCGCCACCACACATCACCAACATTGCTCCCCTAGTAGTTGTACTGTTCCTGCGCCATCGTACAGTCGTAGCCAAAGCGCATCATCCTCTGTACAATTAGAGAGACTTCAACTCCGACCAGCACGCATAGCGCATAGCGAGAAGCTCAACATGGTGTTGCCGAGTGACATCATTTTACTGTACAAAAAAGGAATCAATTTCTCTTCATCACAAGCAATCATGTATCATAATGAAGATAGTAGTGCGTTCCAATATGACATGATGTAGTGCGTTCCAAATGCAGTGCGTGCATGTAGAAGTTGGTATTACTAGCACAAAAAATTGATGTGGACCAATGATTGCTTAAATCTTGCGACGAAGGTATGCGCTAATATCGAGTCGTGTAAAATGAATGCGGTACTATAGCTGCCTACAAAAGGCAAGCAGAGGTCGAATAAAGGTGACCTTGTTTGTCGTGGACGTGGAAGTGGACCAGACAGCACTGACGCAGAAGCTACTAGGTAGAAGACTAGGTACAAGTACGAACGTAGATCACTAAGTTTATGTCTGCTCTTCACATATCTGCACCGCAACCCCACCACGACGACCCCCTACGAAGGTTGATGGTTGGAAATGATGACTCATTCATTCATGATGATGTTGAGGGGACATTGACTTGCTAAAAAAAAATGTATGGACTTTAGGAGAGGGACAGAGGATAGGAACAAAAATGAAAAGTCAGAAAATAAAAGGACTGCCTTCGTTAGTAAAGCGATTCATGACAAAGCGATTCATGCCAAATTCGTTTCACAAGTACTTAATCAAGGACTTCACCATCGTCCGACCTAAGTTGCTGCACCACCCACGTTGACCGTGACACATCATTCATACGCATACTTATTCTACATCTCCAATTTTCAGATGAAACAAGAAAATACAACCAAGCAGTTTTAATTTTTGCACAACACGGTATCTCTCGGTTCTTGGATCAATGAGGAAAACTGAATCAAAAAGATGAACATCATCGTTTTGCAAGAAACACGAAGATCTTGACCATCGCGCACGCGCGCACTCACAAAAGAATATCAGCCGACACTTGAACCTCAACACAGAACCATTTACTTTCATCATCCTCATGAACACTGTCCTGCACCACAGAGAACAACGATCATCTATGCTTTGACTCGTTACAGAATAAAGTGGAGGTCGAACAAGCCTTAGGTGGATATGACAATGTTCTTTCGTCTCGGTCGTAGACAGAATTCCAACATCAATATTTTCATCTTCCAATCATTCCTTCATCCTCTCAGCAAAGAAAAAACAGCTCCACAAAAGAAATCATAAAATACTCCTGATTTTTATCGTGTACAGATTCATTTGTTTGTCATTATCTCTTTTCATTCCATCGCCAGCATGGCTTCTCATTACATTTTGTATACTTCATCTACGATTATCCCATGAACTAAATTGTCTTTTCCGAAGGACATTCAACGGCTAACACTTTGTAATTGCCTACGGTGACTTTGTAGGTTAACAAGAAGTACTCATTTTCACACATAAGACTCAATTATCATCCCAGTACAATCACGACGCCAGTAACGAGCATCAGCCCGAAGCTGATAAGATGGCCAACGTAAGCATGTCGAGCAGCGAATTCCGTAAGATTCTCTCCTCGTGCCTGTTGCATTGCTGGTCTATGATGGTTATTATCCCTGTCTTGATGGCGGCGATTCCCACGAGCATCATCGTCTCCGACTCCTAGGTCTTCTGGTTCTGACCCGCGTCCGTGATTATCTTGTTCATCACTCCCAACAGTAGATACATGTTGGTCTTCTCCTCCTTCTCCATCTCCTCTATCCTGATGTCCTCCATCCTGCCGAAGGTTTAACGTAGTTGATATAGCAGAAGATAGCAACCGCATCGGACTGCTGCTCCATCTAGAGGAAGGAGATGCTTCGTCTCTGGTGCCCAACGTAGCGGTCCTGCTCCGTCGTCCTGCTCCGTCGTCGAGTAGTGGCTCATCACCTATCAAGGTTTCAGCCTCAACCAAGGTTTCTGGCGAACTAGCCCGTGTTGTAGCCCCATGAGAGGGCTGTCTAGACACGTCTTCAACCGCCATTCTTTTGTTTGTGCGTGTGGAAAGAAGAAATAGTAAAAGTAAAGTTCATGATGGCTGAATATTAAGAGTTCCTGGCAGCGTGACGCCTTTGCGGCTGAAGAAGATGAAGTTCTTGTTTACACGCATTCAATGTTTACAATCTTCTTGACCTGATAACTTGCAACGCTCCGAATCCGGGCTGTCCTGGACTGACTCCTCTTTTCAAGAAGCTAGGGAAGAAACAAAATGTGGAAGGAGAGGAGGAAAGATGGGAGCATAGTACTACTCGCTTGGAATTCTCTAAATCACTGTGACCGTTGAAAGCAAAATAATCCTAACACCGATATGGTCGGCTTAACTTCTTCGTTCAGACCGACACGAACCGATGGAGCACTACAGAAGACACAGAACAAAGTACTTTCCTCTTGATGGCTCTTGCATCACGCAAAAAGCCCACAAGGCTGCCGAACAGCTTTCCTCTATTCCAGTACTAAGAGAGTACTAGCGCCCAACGTCTTGGCAGAAACACAAGACGGTTGCGAATGGTTTCAAGGAGCATACTTACTAAGTGTCCAATCCCACAAAAAGTTTTTAGCGAACGCGTCCGACAGCGTTTGTCCTCGTGGTCAACATTTACCTCCTCTATTAGGCTTCGTATTCAAGGTCCTAGTCTAGAACGCCTTGTGAATCTTTCGCGCCTGTACTGAGGCCGTGAATCTATTCGGCAATCTGCCTAAGGTTTCCCTTTCGCGCCTGTACTAAAAGCACTAGGTGTACGTCTCTACTAACTTCTAGTCTACTCGCATCCAAATCAACCACACGGATGAAGCGACCGTTGTTCTAAGGGTTTAGATATTCTAATTTTTTAGAGATGGCAAGAACCCACGCGCCAAAAAGCCAAAACTCGCAACTTCAAATCTTCCAACATAGATACTTGATCGTACATCGATCTTCTTGCTCTCTTGACTGTCAGTTTTCTTTTTCTTGTGCAGCCTTGTCCTTCTCTTAGACCTGCCTTAGTCTGCCCATGTTGTCGACATCTTCAGCGAGACGTACTAGTACTTCGTGTAAATGCATTTTCTTTAGCTTTTATTTCACCACATAAGCCTACTTTAAGCACGCCCCATTAGGATGTTATAAATCCATCCCTTTTCCTTTTTCCCGGCTCCAGAGCAATTCAACAGAGCCTTCTCCACATCTGGTCCGCTAAATAGGTGGCCATAACCTTTTAGCAGTTTTACTTCTGCATTCCGTGGCTGCCAGATTGCGTCTTCAGGCACAGTCACATCAACCTGGCTCTGAGCGAAGACGTTCGCGACCTTTTGCTGTTCTTGGATGCTATTTCCTGGATTAGCACGACCGCCTCGCAAACGGTTTCCTCCTCCGTTAGCAAATACTGTTTTGTACAAAACAGGTTTCAAACGGTATTGTCTATTAGCGGCGTCGTGGGTAATCACTTTTCCGATCAAGACGTCTCTCGCGCTTGGCTTTTTTTCCTCAGATACACGTTGAAGGTTGTGCTCCTTGCGCCAATTTTCCACACTTGGGTTGTCCAGTGAGTCTTTTCGAAGAATAACGTAGCTACCAACTGCAAAAGTTCTATTTCTGTTAGCTGGTGCGTCAGAAGTCGTCGACCGCATATTTGCGTAGTGATAAAAAAGGCGATTCGCTTTCATACTCATCTCGTGCGGACGGTTCTGCACAGTATCTTTAGACCCCTGCATAGCACCTAAAAACACCGATTTCGGCATTCTTTGAGCCGCTATCAGATAAGTAGGATCCACCCCAGAAGCAAGGGTGATCACACCACCAACGGTGATCTTGTCGTCCTGCACGTTCCCCCCAAAAACAGGAGAGTCCTGCGTAAGCAAGTTGGCAACGACAGGGGAATAACCTGGTTGTCCTGGCCCTTGACGACTAATCGCGCCCATGCGGTAACCGGCATCAAATGTGACGACGCCGCCTCCTTTACTCCAACCAACGTAGATAATCTTCAACGGGTGAGCATAATTATCTGCGCGTTTCTCTTTCACTTCTTTGGTAATCCACCCCATTGTCAGATCTAGACCTTTCGCCTGCACCGCACGCATTCGGTAGTCGGAATCAGCCGCTTGATCAAAGTTGCTCGGATTTTCCACCTGTGCGACACCAATTTTCTTATGCATGTGCTTCCATGTTGCAGCGGAATAGTTAAATACTTGGCGCAGCGTCCATTTCACAAGGGGAGGTAGTGGCTGGACGAAGACAATCAAGGCGTTCAGCTCGGGTAAGGCCGGGCAAACATCTTCTTGAGCAGCGTTACCATCATTTGGTTTAGGAGGACACCAAAATTTCGTCCCCAAGTCGTAATTCACCGTTTTCTGCGGTAAAACGCCTTCTGCCTGATGGTGAATCGCTTCGTTGCGAAAGACCAAGCTTTGGGTAAGTGCGGGAAGAGGTCCGCCTTCAAGTTCGGTTTCAGACTCTCCACTCTTAGGGCTCAACAAACACACTAACAAAACAACAACTGCCACAACCAACACAGCCACGACGGACAATAAGATCCACCCTTTGGTCGTCACCTTGCATTTCTTGCGGACCCCTGTTGAGGACCCGTTGTCATCCGAAGGACGCTGTTGGGAACGCGACATTTTGTGTTTGATATATCAGGTAAGACTCCTTGTATTGAAGAAGTACTGAGGTAGTTCTTTTCTACAACTTATTAGATGTTGTCGTGTTGTAGTTTGTTCAGATTTTTTGACATTACCCGAGGTCGTTTGAAATGATGATCGATGTCTGGTAAAAAGGCTAGAATTCTAGTACAACGAACTGTCTAGGCAAACTATTCAAACTATAACGAATTATAACAAATTGAGAATAAGACTTCTCATTCATTCATGCAGTCAGGGGGCCTATAAGAAATATTTGTCACTTTAGATTAGCAAAACCCAAAAAGTATCTTGGCTGGGATGATATTAAGTTTAAGTGGAATGTGAGACAAAATGAGATAGATCGTTTAGGGTTCTTCTTGAGAACTTCGATCAAGTATTGTGGATCGTGGATCTTTTCTCTTAGAATCGCAGTGATGGATCTCTTGCATGCTGGACCTTCATCTTTCTGGATCTTCACCTCTAGAGAGCTCTTGACCACCTTCTGTAGGAGGAACTTACTTGTTTGCTGTTTTCGATCTATGCAAACTCGTTCTGCTGTTTTGGATCACACTTCCACAAGAAGGTTCTGAGCACGAGGATCAGTCTTCAGTGACTTCCATAATATTCGGATGTATCAAAAACGTTTTTTGTTCAAAAATATACTGGTGATGGTCATGTTTCAAAAGTAGTAGTCTTCAGCTTTACATGATTTCCATGGAAAATGTTTTGGTCTGCAAAATCTTCACACCTTACACACTCTTTACAGCTATGAATTATAACTATCATCTATGTCAAGTTTTCTATGTGCGGGCACCTCACGTTCGACTACATTCTTCTAGGAAAGCAAAAAACTACTCAAGTTAATATGGGCTCATCGTACAGACAGCCTATACAACTTTTTATGTCTGTCAGCTGTGTTGCAAAAGCAAAACTAACTGACATCGTCGACTGATGTTGAAAAAACTAGTATGCGATAATCCATGTGTTCTTGATTTGCGTTGAAACATCATTATGAAAAACCAGCAGTTATGTTGCTTGCAGAATCTTATCGTCAATGTTGACTTGTAGTTCTAAAATATTTCTTGTAAAAGGACTGTACACTGTCTTTCAATTGTAGTAGCGACTTCACCAAAAAAAATTTATCATTATTGAAAAACCTTCAAAGACACGCTCATATTACGATATGTGGATCTCTTTACTTGATACTATCCTGAGATGTTAACTATGCCTAACGATGCATTCCTCGTGCCTGCATAATGTAAAAATGACGGCCCGCAAAAAAAACATAAGAAGAATCTTTCTCCCAGAACATGTATAATTTCCTTGTAGGAATTCCGCGATCTCACATTATTTCCCCTTGCTTTATCGCTCCTGGCTGTTCTACAGCACCCTCTTCGTTTTTGATGCCTCTGATCTTCTCCCATAATGGTAGTAGTTCTCCCTTCTCTCCTGTCGGTCCCAGCTGGATTAGGATGCAGGGCAGGTAAACCATACTCATGATCAATGCGTAGAGCACGGTGAGAAAAATCGTCACGCTGACCCGATTGAACGGAGGCGTCATGCAGAAGAGGAGCAAACACAACCCCGCAACCGCACTACTAGCGAAACCCGCAAAAATCGTGCTGCCCATGTGCGCCAGTGCATATCGTACGCGCTGTTCGCTCGAGTGGAGGCTCACAGGAGAACGTCCGGCTTCAGTGGTGTTAGAGAAAATACACTAAGCTATAAGAGGCTCAACAGGTGGACGGCCGGCTTCAGTGGTGTTAGATAGATGGAGGAAAAGTTTAACATACTAGGGATGGAGGAGACTGGGGAGCCGTATGCTGCAGTGCCCTTCTTCTACGAAACATATGATTCTGCCTAGAGTTACTTAGCATGCTGGATTGATTCTAGCCACGTTATCATCATTTCTTTTTAGCTACATTATCTAGTAATCACATCATGTTCAGTGTATTCCTTTTCATAATGTAGACGTGCGCGAAGTGCAAGGTGTAATCGACTGCTAAGCCGATCACCAAAATTCCGGCCATCGTTTCCAAGCTGCCCAACTCCCATCCCATCAGATTGAACGTACCCAAAACTTGAAACACCGTTGCTGCGACGGTAAAAATCGACCAAAACGCCGTGACGACATTCATAGAAGCAAACAGCAGCAACAGGAAGCAAATCGGGAAGAGCAAGGCTAGACCCCCGTAGAGTGTGGTCTTCAACTCCTTCGCGATCACGTAGAAGAAGTAGTCCGTTTGCTGCATCGCTGGACCCAGAGTTGCCGGTGCGCGAGCGTTCTCCTCTTCCAACACAGCTTCTACCGCATGATAGAGACTGTCCGCTTCCTCGTAGCTTTCGCCCAGGTCACCCAGGAGAGGAATGCCTAGACTCAAAGAGTAGACTAGGTAGTCTGCTTGTTGCCAGAAGCCTGCATTCCAGTCAAAGACCCGATCGGCGTAAACTGAGGAACCAGGATGGGCGACGGTGCCCACGGCATGCCAATCCACCTGCGCGTTCGCTCCGCCACGTGGTCCCCCATGCATAAACGGGGACAATACCGACGCATCATGCGCTTTCTTACCCCAAGACACTCTCTGAGACCGGTAGAAAGATTCCGCAACTAATTTGTCTGGAGTAAGACTTCCACTTGAAGAGGATGAAGTTGGGAAGAACGGATTCCGTACTAGTGGAGATGATCGGTAGTTGAAGGAGTCACTGAGGAGGTCCGTGGTGGGAACGTTGTAGTACTTTTGGGACATGCATTGATTGGAACTGGAGGAGGTCACAGAAGATGTTTTGCGCCTGGAGAAGATCTTGGATAACAGCGACATCTCCTGCTTGTTCTGTGGTTGTACTCCAGCATTCTCATCAAGTGCTCTTCTCGGCGTCACAAGTGAACTACTATGCAACGTATCCCGGATTCCGCACGTCAAGGTTCCTGGAACAAACAACTTCCCAGCTGCTGCCGCTTTGTTCGCGCACACTGCTTTCCCATCGCACGATAAGTTGGCTAGTCGCTCGCCAACCCGCAAGATGTGACGGACTGATTCAGGTGCGGTCACAGATTTGTGTGTAATCGAAGTTCCGCTGTTGTCGACAAGGGACGCGCCACTGTTCTGCAGATAGTAGCTAGGATTCGGACTCCACTCCCATGGCGTCCAACGACTCAACGTGTCCTCGTTTTTAACCGGTGTGGAGGCTTAGAGGTGGAAACTGTTCATTTTGGCAACTTCTTTTTATACTACTAGGTACTTAGTGGTCGTAAGTACTCTATTGAAAATAATTAAATTAGGCAAATTTGCATAAGGTCATCAAATTCACAAGATTCACAGTTGTCCATAATCTCGGTCAATTCCCCAAACAATGTGCATTTTTCGCCACGCACTCGCTGCACCAGAAGAGAGGAATGCTTTGCGCGAATAGGCTTCTAGACCGACCATCATATGCTTTTCTGGTAACATCTCCAATACTTCAGTCGGTTCGTTCATTAGAGGAGTTCACGATAGTATTTCATATTCTGCGTTTACAGTCTCAGACTCCCCAGGGAAAAAACTGAGACAAAAAATACTCTGATGTGGAGAATCAACTATAAATTATCTTCTTGAGCCTTAATTTTAGTTTCCCTGCTTCCACTGCTAACCAAATGCTCAACGACGTGAACAGTAGAATCACGGCAGATGCAATTGGATAGATCGTGAATTTTGTGGTCTTGGTCAAGTCGAAGGACATCGGTTTGGCGATAAAGGAGTCGTACATACGAGCTAGGAAAAGTTGTAGCTTGTCAGACTCTTGCTCTTCTTGTTGTGTACTAGATGTTGTAACAGGTAGTTGTTGTTGTTGTTGCTGGTGCTGAAGGCCGTTGCCTAAGACCTTGTTGGGTTCTACGATCTCACTCCCGTTCATCAAGGCCTTCACTGGTCTACCATGACCGCTACTGCCCAATTCGATGTCCTGCAACAAGTTGTTCTTCGTTGTGCTACCACTGTCGTTCCCTGGTTCCGTAGACTGTGACATCGGAGCACCTGTGACACTACTGCCAAACGACACGAGCCGCTCTTCATCCAAGACTTTTTTCCCTTCTAAACGCGCTAAGAAGCCTCCGCCACGAGGAGAACTCTGACTGGAAGAAAAGAAACAACCACACAAGCTGAAGCAGTTTTGTTTTGATTCCATGTGCAGGATGTAAGCTCCGATGACACACGGAAATGCGGTCACGCCGAACAAAAACGCGCCAAGGATCATGAGACCAGCAAAAGCCCCAAAGTGCGCCACTGGAATTACGGTGGAGGTTAACATGGAGAAGAAGGCAAGCGCAGTAGTCAGACTCGTTTCTAGAATACTGCTTGACGCTCGCGAGGTACCTCGAAAAAGAGCTAAATAAGCAGCGACCACTTTCTCATCCTGGGTTTCGGCAACCGCAGGTGGGAGGACTAAGTCAGATTCCGACTCAGGAACGATTTGTTGCGGTGTTGTCGTCGTAGTAGCAGTTGTTGTTTGAGCCAAGATGATCGTTCCCGGTGGAGAAGATGGTGCTTCGATTTGCTTCATCTTTTGTGCATTGTTATCCCCATTCCTCATAATCGTGTCTCCAACTGCTTCAAGAGCTCCTAGTCCAGTAGCTCCTCCATTAGCCCGAGCCAGAGCCTGAGGAGCGTCGGCTGCTGCACGTGCGCGCTCCAGCTTCACGGCTTCAAACATGACGAAAAAGTCGTCGGCGCCGACGGCTAGCATGACGAACATCACGTTCAACATAAAAAGCTCGAAGAAGGCTAAGCGCGCGAACAGGAAGTATCCAACAAAGCCAGAGAGAACGCCGCATCCGGGAATTAGAGAAGAAACCACGACGGCCAGCAAAGATTTGCTGGAATCTTTTCGAACAAAATCACTTTTATTTTGAAGCCTTTTGTAATTTGTCTGTTCATACAGCAAAAAAAAAAACTATAACTATAAAAGTAGTGCATGATATTCCGTGCTATGATCGAATCACAGTGAGCATCACAGGAGAGTTGAGCTTATTTACTGTGAAGACTAGTCTCTTCGGGAAAAAGAAAGCGACACAAGTTCGGAGTGAGACCATCTAATCTGAGAAACAGGTAGCGCTAGCGTATGACTAACTCATCTTCTTGTCATCTGCAAAAAAAACCATTTCCAATTACCCACAAAAGAACAACTTTAACTACACCTTCTTCGGCCTTAAGACAAACAGAATCACAATCGATGCACACCATGTGCTCCCACCAGTAATGCCGCAGACAACTGCCCAAACGAGCAAGAGCGCGATTGGCAGTCCCATCAGATCGCGACGTAAGAAAATGCGCCATTCAATCTCCTTCAAGTTTCGATCCACAGCGCGAACCAGGACATTGCCGTCAGTGCCGGGAAGCACCGCCCACGAGCCTTTTTCGTCTTCGTCTGTGGATTTCGAGAGCGGGACTTGCTATGGGGTGTTTGCATCTTCGAAACAATATAGTTATAAAAAGCTGAGTGTTCCTCCCTTGTATAATTGTGAGTGCATAGAAAAAAAACTAACCTTGCTCCCCATCCACATTGGCTCCCAAAAAGCGTGGTGAAAAAAGCGAGTGTTTCTCATCCAACCGTTCTGCCAAAGCGTCCAAAGCTTCTCCTGCCTCATCTCGTGTAACACTCTGGTGCACCCCAATAAACCCACTGCGTGTCTGCGTAGCGTAACCTCTCGCTGCAAATCCCCGATCGAGAAAGAAGCCATAGGATGAGGAAGAGGTTCCTGTTGTACTACCCGTTGCACCAGACGTTGGGGTAGCGCTTCTGTACTCTTGGTAGATCGCTAGATCGATCAAAGCATCAGCTTGTGCATCTGTCATGGCGACTTCGCACTGGGATGGAGGAAATGCTCGCAGTGCGGCTTTCGCAGTTCCTGTCGGGATGAAAGTCGATACCGAGTTCCCACTGTTCACGTGACCCTGCAAGGCAGCAATAAAAGCGTCCACGCCAGAGATTAGATGGATTATTATAGGATAACTTTTCTAGGATGAATGGAATTGTATTTCTTGCGGAACATGTTTGGTGTCGTCACTGGAAAAAGGAAACCAAGACAATTCAGAAAGACTGCAAGTAGCGGAGATACCACATGATTCATTTTCGTCTTTAAAAATCAGACTAAATCGAACTCACTTATTCCAGTCAAAACAACAAAAAACTACAATTCCTTACTGCTCACTTGTCTCAGTTATAAAAAAAAAGCCTTAAGTATATCGCCGACAATTGGACGTATCGGGAAAGTCGTGACACTGAATCGTACCATTTGTCGGCATCGGTGAGGAGGTTACGGTATTCATGCCAGAGTCTCTCTAGTCGGCAAATCGCACGAAGGTTCGCGGGAGTGAAAACCTAAGTAATGTTCGGATGTATCCAGACCTCTTTGTAGACAAAAATTGCAGTTCATCAGTGTCCGCAATTCATGAGCACCCAAAGTTTTTACTCGTAAATGACCCTAAAAATGCCCTCTAAAATGTTGTAAAACAACAGTACAACTATAAGCAAAACAGCAGCACCTTGCTTCCACTTTTCGTTTTGTAGACAATTTGCGAGGAACCACCGATGGCATTGGAAGCCGCTGGCTCCCCGTCAGTGCCCAGAAGCGCAGAGGCCACAGCTGGATCGACGGCAACTGGATCTCGCGATAGCCTGCGAGCCACTCGATCCTTTTCTGTTTCGAATTTTTGGTCTGCATCGAGCCAACGCCGAGAACGTGCGGTCGCTGCTCGAAACGCGAAGTCTCTCTGCAGGGTCTTAGAATTGGTCTCTTTTTTGGTCAGTTGTTCAACAAGAACATGAAGACTAAAAATACTGTCGTCGATCACTAACGTCCACCATGTCTGACTCACTAACGTACTGCACACCTCAATAATGTGCTTCGCACCTGAAGCATTTCATTGATTTTGATGCATACTTGCTTTCATTTGTTCTTTCTTTTACCAGGAAGGTACTGAGGGTATTTTCTGTGATGCTTACTGTGATGCGAGGATATCACGGAAAATCATGCCGTTATTACTAGTCTTAGTAGCCATAATGATCGGGTGGTCCCGCACTCGCCATATGTCGACGCTCTGTGTCTGCTCGAAGTCTGCGTCTGGACATTAGCCAGTTTCTAGCAACTTCTACCGATCATAGTACTACGCAACAAACACAAAGTTGAAGAGCAGAAAATGTTATCAATGTCAAAAATATTTCTTTCCAATGATGAAATCCTTTTCTCTAAAGTAGGTCGTGTAAGTACTCATAAAGGAGATTCAAACACCCCTGATGATCCATGAAGGAAATTTTTTTTACAGGAGTTACACATGATTTTATGATGTAATGAATGATGAAGTTCAAGGTTCCTTAAGGATAAGCATTTCGTGTGAGAAACGCCAACGCCGTGAAGAAGACGAGGACGAAGAGCAGACTCAACAAACTTGCGATCGGCCGCAGCACGGCGTTCGTACAGACGCCTTTCTGAAAGGAGGTCCCGAAGGACGAACTGGATGCCTTCATTTTTCTTTCTTTGGTATCACCTTTAGATTTGGAGTGATAGTTGCTTGCCGGGGCTATGTTAAGGTCAACTTTTTAGAAAAAAACGAGTTGAAGATGTTGACTTCGGGAGATTTCTGTCACCTTATTAAACCCGGAAATGAATAGTCCTCGTTTTTTCAGTTCGATCGATCAGTTTTCAGTCAACTGCCTTGGATTTATACTACTTGTATGCGCAACACATCTAGGCTCTTTTTGGTCGTTTTTTGTCCTCTGGAAGTTTTCTTTTGTCAAAGGATGCAACTTTTTTTTTCCTACATCACAAGAGTAGAGGCTTTCTCGGTCGCTTTGCAAGGCGCTTTTCGTTCATGCTTCTCTGTAGTCGGAGGTTCGCACGAGCAGGATAAGGCGATACTACAATAATTATTGTTGCTCCCCGTTTTGCTCGTCCGTCCAATTTTTCAGAAATGTAAAGAAAAGAAAGAAAGCGAGGAGGCTTTAGCAATCAGTGAAGAATACTAGAGGCCTGCCGAATGGTACAAAAAATGTTTGGCGTGCCTTCATTGGCGCCCTATGGGATGACTTCTGCCAGCACGCGGGCCTTTTGGCTGTTGCAACGCTGCCGGGACGAGCGCAAAGAGAACCGGCGGCCGCGCTGCAACGGCGAAAAAGTCCGCGCGTTTCTGCCAGTTCTTTCGGCAAGGTCTTCAAATGTCCCGTCTTTATGGGGAGAAGGCAAGCGGACGGCGGTCCGCGTAAGTCGTCGGCCTACCGCGGACCGGCTGCCAGGCTTGCAGAACGAGGCCCGGCGCCGAGCTCGAGGGCGCGGGCTCGTGGCCCTTCGCTCCGAAGCACGCGCTGACCTGCGAGCCCTTCCGGCAAAGTCTTCAGGCGTCCGGGCTCTCGGGGGAGGAGCCAGGCGGAAGGCGGTCCGCGTAGGCAATCGACCTATCGGGGGCCGGCTGTCCGGCTTGGGGCATGAGGCCCGGAGCCTGCCCCGAGGGTGTGGACTCGAGGCCCGTGGCTTCAGAAGCAGGGCTCTTCTGCAAGTCCTTCCGGGAAAGCCTTCCGCATTCCAGGCTCTTTGGGGAGAGGGCAGGCGAACGGCGGCCAGCGTAAATCAGCGACCTATCGCGGACCGCCTGCCAGTCCTGGGGCATGAGGCCCGAGGCTATGCCCGTGGGTACGGACTCGTGGCCCTTTGCTCCAAAGTCCCCGCGCTTCGGAGAGTTCTTCCGGCAAAGGCTTGCAAAGCCCCGGCCCTCTGTGGAGGAGGAAGCCGGGCGGCGGTCCGCGTAAGTCGTCGACCTATCGCGAACCGGCTGCCACGCCTGGGGCATAAGGCTCAAGGCCGAAGCCGCGGAAGCTAGTGTGTCTGCTGCAAGGGTTTGGGCTTAAGCGCAGCGCTGCCCCCTATAGGAGCCTGCGGGGAAGCCTGTAGGGGTTTTGTTCAACCTAAACGAGATCCCTGATTCTTCCGCCCCGGCAAAGGGGGCCGCCGGATCTAATCAGCCTCCAGAGAGGTCCCGGATGTTCCCGGTTATCTTCTCAGGGGCGGAATGGTCTCGGCTCATAAAACAGGAACTCCACTAGCTTCCTCACAGGCCCTTATAGAGGGCGACGCGGCCTCTAAGGGGGCCCATAGGGTAATCGCAGGCGGGATTCAAATGGAGAACGAAGCCCCCCGCCGTTTTCCCGTGGGCCGCCATGGAGGGCGGCACGGCCCTCACGGGGTGGTAGTGATGCCGGAGGCCCCCATTTTCGGAGGCGAAAGGCGACCGGGCTGGCGACAATGCGCGCCAGGGCAGGTGAGCCGAGCAGCGTTGACCTAGCTTTCCCCCCGGCTGTTCCCCGGCCGCCCAAGGGCGCGGCAGAGCAGGGGGCGGCGGTTGCGGCTTTGGTTAATCGCAAGCGGGATTCAAATGGAGAACGAAGCGCTCCGCCGTTTTCCCGCGGGCCGCCATGGAGGGCGGCACGGCCCTGAAGGGGTGGTAGTGGATGCCGGAGGCCCCCATTTCCGGAGGCGAAAAGCGAATGGGCTGGCGACAATGCGCGCCCGGGCAGGTGGGCCGAGCAGCGCTGACCGAGCTTTTCCCCCGGCTGTTCCTCGGCCGCCCAAGGGCGCGGCAGAGCAGGGGGCAGCGGTTGCGGCTACGGCGGTTGCGAATAGGGAAGCGAGCACCCTCTATAGAGGCCTACGGGGCCAACAGTCGCGGGGTGTCAGTCGGGGCTTGAAACAGTCCCCACTGGGTTCTGCGCTGTTCCTATTTTTCTCGAAGGGGTCACGGCTTTGGTGGTCGTTGCTCTACACCTAAAGGGCGGCAGCGAGTCACGCGCGTCGCGCTGAGGCATAGAAAGCCGCCGCGGGCCGCGAGCGCGCGGGCCGGCCTTCCCAACAAAACCGCGCCCTTTTGCACGTTTACAGCGCAGAGGCCCGCAAACTTCCAGGGGATTTTGGGGGGAAGCAAGTGGGAGGCGCTCCGCGTGCGTCGTCGACTTATAGCGGACCGGCTGCCAGGTTTGGGGCACGAGGCCCGCAGCCGGGCCAGGCGGCCCGTGCGCGTGGGCCTCCCTTCTAAAGCCGTGGCTTTTCAAGCGTTCAGCCTGGGAACCCTTTAAAACGGTATGGCTTAGATCGCCCTCTATTGGGGCCGATGGGAAACTGATGGAAGAAAATGGCAAGCCTTTTTACCATTAGGCCCTCCGAAGTTGCGACGCTAGTAGCGAGAAAGCCGCGGCTTTGGCATAGTTCCTTTTGATTGTCGATCTATCGCGGGCCGGCTGCTACCTAGGTGGCCCGGCGCTGTGCATCTGTTCTCGACCTATCGCGGGCCGGCTGCTACCTAGGTGGCCCGGCGCTGCGCGTCTCTTACCGACTTATCGCGGGCCGACTGCTGGGCAGCTCTGCGCCGCGCGTCTGTTGTCGGCCTATCGCGGACCGGCTGCGAGGCAGATCCGCGCTTCGCTTTTTGGTGTTGCCGACTTACCGCGGGCCGGCTGCTCGGTAGCCCTGCGCTGCGTGTCTGTTGCCGACTTATTGCGGGCCGGCTGCTAGGAGGCTCTGCGCTGCGTGTGTCTTGTCGACTTATCGCGGACCGGCTGCGAGGCAGCTCTGCGCTGCGAGTCCGCTCCGTTGCCGACTTATCGCGGACAGGAGATCCGGCCGGCAGGGCTTTGGAAGGGGGTCACCTTCCTAACCTGAAGCGCGTCGCACCTTTCAGCCAATTGGGATACTGCGCGCCATCCAATGGCGGGGACAAGTTTTGGGGCACCAGTTTCGCAACGGGCAAACAAACGGGCACACAGCCGCGGACGGTCAAGGCCTCGAAGGCAGGCGACTCCTTGAGGGGGTCACCTTCCCAACGCGAAGAAAGTCGCACTTTTAAACAAATTGGGAGGACCCCGCTTCATCTAGTGGCGGGGGCACGGCCTCGGGCACCAGCTTCGCGACAGGCAAAAAAACGAGCGCACGATCGCGGACAGTCAAGGCTGCGGAAGAGAGCGACTTCTTAAGGGGGCCGCCTTCCCAACTCGAAGAAAGTCGCACTTTTGAGCCAATTGCGAGCACTGCGCGCCACCCAATGGCGGAGCAGGGGTCTCCGGAACCAGCTTCGTGACAGGCAAGCAAAGAAACGGGCGCACGATCGCGAACATTCAAGGCCTAGAAGAGGGGCGACTTCTTAGGGGGGTGACCTTCCCAACCAACTCTAAGAGCGTCGCACCTTTCAGCCAATTGCGAGGACGGTGCGCCACCTAATGGCGGAGACAGGGCCTCAGGCACCAGCTTCGCGACAGGCAAACAAACGAGCGCGCGACCGCTGACGGCCAAGGCGTCGAAAAGAGCCGACCGCAGTCGGCTTGGCTTAGATCGCCCCCTATAGCGTCCCACGGGAAACTAATGGAAGAAACCGGTCGCCCGTTTTCCCGATCAGTTTCCACCGGAGCCCCGCCTCTCTCGCTTCTATCCGACACCTGTAGCGAGAAAGCCGGGACCTTGAAAGAAGGCAGTTGGTGGCTGATGGTATCAGACTCACAGAAGAGAAAGGGAACGGATGGCCCGAAGGGTGGCGGCTCTTCTCACGAGTCTGAAACACTCCGCACCGTTTTCAAACACTGAGAGCTTCAGACCTACAGGGGGCCAGCGTCTTCCGCAGGTGGGTTCTCGACTTATCGCGGACAGGCTGCTAGGCAGCTTTGCGCTGCGCGTCTGTTATCGACTTACCGCAGCGGGGCTGCTAGGCAACTCCGCGGCGCGCTTCCGTTTTCGACTTATCGCGAGCCGGGTGCTGGGCGGCCCTGCGCTGCGCGTCTGTTGTCGGCTTCTCGACTTATCGCGGGCCGGCTGCTAGGCAGCTCCGCGCTGCGCGTCTGCACTCGACTGACCGCGGGCAGTCAAGGCTTCGAAAAAAGGCGACTTTTTGAGGGGATCACCTTCCCAACTCGAAGGGGGTCGCACTCTTCAGGGAATTGCGAAGACTGCGCGCCATCTAGTGGCGGAGGCGAGGCCTTACGCATCAGCGTCGCGACCCGCAAGCAAACGGCTGCGCGATCGCGGGCAGCCAAGGCTTCGAAAAAGGGGGACTTCTGCAGGGGATCACCTTCCCACCTCGAAGGGAGTCGCGCTCTTCAGGTAGTTGCGAAGACTGCGCGCCATATAATGGCGGGGGCAAGGTTTTGCGCATCAGTTTCGCGACCCGCAAACAAAAGGCCGCGCGATCGCGGGCAGTCAGGGCTTCGAATGCAGGCGAATTCTGAAGGGGATCGCCTTCCTATCTCGAAGAAAGTCGCGCTTTTCAGGTAGTTGCGAAGACTGCGCGCCACCTAATGGCGGAAGCGAGGTGCTACGCATCAGCTTCGCACGCAAGAAGAACGCGCTGCGGATTCTACGGCGTGGCCCGCGCTGGCCTAGACTGCGCGCTCAGTAGGAAGGGGGGCGGGCGGAATCTAGTGGGGACCCTATGCGAATCGCGAGCGAGATCCAACGGGGCGGCGCCTTCTCTGCATTAGTTTCCCGCCGGACTGTATAGAGGGCGACCTTGGCCCTAGGAAGAGAGTCGCACCCGCAGGCGAGTTGTGAGGACTGCGCGCCACCTCATGGCGGAGGAAAGGCCTCGGGCATCAGCTTCGCGCAAAAACTGGA